TGGGGAAGACCAACAGGGTCTCGGCGATGGACGCGGCTGGCACGTCGTGGCAGGACGAGAGAGGCTTGGGGTCGATAGTGGGATTCGAAGTCGGTGTCGTCGTTCGTGTCGTTCGTACACCGCGGTAGGTATCCGTAGACTGGGGGAGGTCTGTCGAACGACAGGCAACGGTTGTGTGTGGGCGTGAATTGTGGATGGCCCGACTTGATGGATTGACCTGAGCGAGGAGCGGGATGTGTTAGCGGCGACAGCGGTGCTGGCGGCGATTGCCCTAGCACGAAAGCAGACAAGACCAAGTCGTTGCGGAATAGCCGCCCCAAGAGCCTAATGCTAATGCATTTTGCAAGACTGGTGCAGGTGCAGTAGGGCGGGTTTGATAGTGGCGGTTGCCGGTAGCTTCTACCCGCAAGGTAAGGAAGGCCGCCCTTGTGTAGGTTGCTCATGAGGGCACCCACCAGACACGGGTAGTGCGCGATCTGTCACTGTACGTAACGTCGAGACATCAGAAACACCCGTTGGTGCAGGAGTTGAAATGCACGCATGTCCGGAGTGCCTCGCATAGCGCTCTTTTTGTCATTCGTCAGTCCTGTAGTGAGGCGCAATGCAGCCTACGGAGGAAGAAGACACTCCCGTCCACGTCTAGCGCCCAAGGGATGGCCGAGGTGCCGAATTCAGTATACGGAACGTCTGTGGTTGGACAATGAATGCCGTTCATCGGCTGCTGCTGCAGAACCAGAGGAAGAATTCCGTCAGTTGAGAAAGAAAAAATCTATCCGACATTCAAATGACAGACCAATGAACGACACAGTACGTATCGTCCAACACAGGCCGCCATACCCGTAGCCAGCAGGGCGGCACTGGCCAGTCTCCTTCGAGCCAAGACTCAGGAATTGGAAAGAAAATGGCGCTCCGACAGTGCGGATACGGTGCACGGCGGTGGAAAAGTTTGAAAGGGCCGTTTCCTGATAAGAGACGGGACGATTGGCAGGTTTCGATTGATTGGGGGTTCGCATTCGCAGGGCGCTGGGCAAGCAAAGAAAAAAAAAAAGCTGGGCATCCGGCAGGGTTGATGACGGTCGCCTTCGACTCCTAACTCCCATCTTCCCAGCCACCCCAAAGAAAGCCTGTTGTCAAAGCTCAATCACGAGCAGCCAGGGCCCCGGAGTGGTCGACGCTCATGACTGGCAGCGTCTTGGAGAGCCAAAAGCTTGTTGTGATCCACTTTCCTGGAGTCATGGACAACGACAGCGACGACGACAACGATGGGAAGAAGCTGTCGTCTGGACCGTGCTGCTGTCCTATCCTTGAAACTGTGTGGATGCCGTAATATCCCATGTCGAAAGATGTCCAGGGAAGATACGTACTTCGATTTTTTCACAACTTGCACTAGCAGTCGTGTTAGTCTGAGACGACAGAATGGCACGCGGCGTGTAGTCCGCGATGTGTGTGTGTGTGTGTGTGTGTGTGTGTGTGTGTGTGTGTGTGTGTGTGTGTGGTGAAGAAACAGCGACTGCAGTCCAAAATCTTCATCCACAAAGTCCTAGGCGGGACAAGCCTCGTGGGAGCCCGAATGCGCCAATTGGCGTCGCATTGTTTCAATTGAACCGGGTGAGGCACTTAATGACCGTTGGATAGAGACATGGACCGTTGCCGTGCTGATGCTGACCGCCTTCCGTCCGCCCATCGGTTGTCACTGTTGTTGTCATCGTCGTTGTCGACCTGGACATGTTCCGTCAACCCATGAAACCGTTCAATCAGCCACCCATCGCGGGCGTCAAAGCTCACAGCAGCGGTGCGGTTCCATTCGGGCGGCAAGGGCCAGAGTGGGAGGCAAGCTGATGACAGCCATCAGCCGTGGGCGGCGCACGATCCAACGACTTGAGACGAGAAGAGGCCGACGACAAAAACTCCACGGTGCAAGGCCTGCGATTGGGAGCAGTGTCGTCATTTGCAGCCACGGTGCAAAAATCGCGCAAGCCGCCCTTCGTCTTCCTACCGGCTGACCTTCGTACCCTTACAGGCGAGCGACAGGCTGCGCAGGCGGCAGAATGTGCCCGTGTGCCTGGGCAGTCCCGGAGACCCCAGGAAGGGAAACAACGCGGAAAGGCCGCCTCGAAGGCGAGGGAAGGATGGCAAGGACGACGGCAAAGGGGAAAAAAAAAGACGCAGTAAAAATCGAGTAATCCCGCGGCAGGGCAGAGGCTAGGCAGTCTGGTGTAAAGGTACGGAGAATAGGATGTCAACAGGTACGTACGATGGAAGAAGAGCTTACCTCAAAATTACCTACAAATTGGTGTTTAACCTTCACTGCTTCTTGGTAGTGAGACCTGGACAAGGTACCACCGAGACCAGGTAGTGCTGCGTAAGTTTGTACGTACCTCGACTGGCGTTTTACCTCACCCACGCTCACCTTGCCCAGTCGGCGACTCCACAAGCTCGAGGTGAGGAAAGGAACAGCAGCCGCGAGCACACCTTTGCTGGCCGGCTGCTCCCCACGAGTGATGAGCGAGGTATCACCGACAGTCAGCGAGCCAGTCACAAGCTTCGGGACTGTGGGGGTTGCGGCGTCGTGGGCGAGACGGGTGACTGAGCAAAGAAGAAGAAAAACCAAAAAAAAAAACCGATACGTAGCCTTGGTCGTGTTAGTGCGGCGAGAAGCCGGTTCGCCCAGTAGAAGAGCATCCATACCTCTTAGGGGGGAAAAAAAAAAAAAAAAAAGGTGAATGAGGGACCACCTTCCCACTTCAAGCACACGGCGACTCCACCTGTGTTCCCACTGAGCCCAGGTACCTACCGCTGTACCTTACCTCTCCTCCCATGCTCTCAGTGACATTGTCCAATGAGCGGTGTTTCTTCCGCTGGGAAACCTGCACCTCACCTGGTCCTGGGAACTCTGGCCCGGCGAGTCCATGTGGGGCGTTGTACTTTGTTTACTCGCGAGATTACCTTGTCCATCCCGCCTGCCGCACTGTGACGCACACTGGCCGGCTTGCGAGTGTGTGCGCGCAAGGGTCCCCAAGGAAAAACAGGCCGTCTGGGTGTTTGCATGCCCCTGCCGACCGCTGGGACTGAGAGCTTTGCCCCAAATGTGCCATCCCATCCGCGTAACCGCAGGGGAATCAGCACGGAAAAACTCCCCAGCACCTTCAAGCTCTGGCGCAAGATGACGGCGTTGTTGGCCCGTGGGTGCTAAGTTTGAGGCGCTGCTCCCTCGCTCACTCATCGTTCGTCGTCACCACCACCGCCCGCTGCTTCAGCTGGCCCGTTACTACCATAGTAGATGGTTTTCCGCAGTATCTATCATTCTCGTCGGGCAGGCTGCTTGCGGCCTTGACGGTTCTTCTAAAGGGAAAAAAGTTGCCGCCATAGCCAAGCCGGAGGTACCCTCAGACACTCATAGAGAGAGGGAAAAAAGATCTTGCTTCGTCGTCTCGTACAAACAGGTCCATCGTCTCAAACTTCAATCCGTACTGTGCTGCAAGCTTGTACCTGGCACCCCCAGGCCATTGTATCCTAATACAACTTTTCATAGTTTAACTAGGTTCGTTCAAAGAGGTTTCTCTCGCGCTCATCATCAATCAATCCTTCCCTCGTCTGGATGACTGACTGGGCCCCCAGGCGAGGTCAGATCCTGACTGGTCTGGCCAGTCTTGGGTCCTGCTCAGTCGAGTGCTGTCCCTGCCGCGTTGTGCCCGCCGCTGATGGATGTCGCGTACCGTGAACCGATCTGGGCGTGTAGCTTCTCCAGCTTCATTTGCCTTCTCCGCGACCTGGCCAACAGGTACCTGCCTACTTTACCTTGTCTGGAGGTGGAGCCTTTATCGTGGACCTGGACCTTACCTCACCTTCCCTGCACCTTTTGTTTCTTCTCCCCTACGGAGGACCTTGCCATGCTGCTACCGTTGCGTTGCTGCCATTGACCTTCCTCACGTTACGGCGTGCGTGTTAAGGTCTGGTCCGGTATTTGGCAGCGCTGCTTGACATTATGTAAACATGCCTCGCGCAATGGAGCCATTGTCTCCTTCCATTTGGCGCTCTGAGCCCTGTGCCTGTCATGTGTAATAATTCTAATCGTCAGCTTTCAAGGGAAGCGAACAAGTCCTGTCCTGGCTCTGACCTGGCCTTGTGGTCCTGCCGAACCGCTGCCGCTGCCGTCGCCGCCGTCCGCGGTCCATCGCGTCGCTCTTTCCTCGCTCCTCCCTCGCTGTTGCTCTGAGTGCCCGAACGACCTGTGTGAGAGAGAGATACAGAGAAAAAAGCGGGCGAGCTAGCAATACCGTCGGTTGCGGGTACGTAGAGTGGGTACCTCTCTGGGCCGTGGATTCACGGATTGGCCCTTTGGGTTGCTCTTTCCCTTTTCCTTTCGCTCTGCCCTGGGTCAGCGTCGGCCGGATAGCTCGCTCGACATGCTCCACGGCCCACGCCTTGCCTTCCAACACGCCCACCCACCCCAAAAAGGTCCCATCTCATCTCTCAATTCACTCCCCCGACCCACACCTCCCGCCTTGCAGACACCCCCTCTACCACGGTTGCGCTTGCTGCTTGTTGCTGTTGCTGTTGCTTCCTTCGCAGTTCTGCTGCTGCTGCACCACACACACATGCACTTTGATGGCCCAGTCGTCGCCTCTTTCTGGTGTCGCTCGTGTCTCTCCCCCCAAGCCCGCACTTTCTTTAAAGTAGCGAAGCTTCCGCACCTCTACAGCCGTGCTTCCTTTCTCTTCTTTTTTTCATCACCCACGAAGGCTGCCTCTAGGTATATAGATCGCCTTTCACATTCGTGTGGTGCTCAACCTCCCCCCCTCTCCACTCTCCCTCTTCTCAATCACCTTTCCTACGCGTATCCTGCGACCAAATCAGTATTTCTTAGGCTTGTCCTAGAAACCAGCAGCGCCTCGCCGTATTACGGAATACCTACCAACCTCAACACCTAGTATTCGCGACCTATACCCTATTCGCGCATAATAGCCTGAGCAGAGCTCGTCTGCCTCACACCAGTCGCCATGGCCGAGTCAAACGCCGCGGCGCCGGCCATCAACACGCCCATTGAGGGCCACAGATTCGACGAGAAGGCCCCCGTCGAGGCTCCCGCTGCCTCCAAGGCCAAGGTCGAGGAGGACGAGGAGGAGGATGAGGATATCGATGCCCTTATTGAGGACCTCGAGAGTCAGGATGGCCACATCGATGAGGAGGAAGAGGGTACGTTGCCATCCCCGTGTAGCTCTCCAAGTTCGCAGCACTCGCTGTCAACCTGGCCGGGTCCACACACTGTGGTTACCAAAGGCATCAGCTAACCCAATTGCTTGCAGACACCACCCCTGGCACTGGCCGTGTCGTCCCTGAGGACCAGCTCCAGACCGACACCCGCATGGGTCTCACTGAGGCAGAGGTTCTCAACCGCCGCAAGAAGTGGGGTCGCAACGAGATGGCTGAGGCCAAGGAGAACCTTGTCCTGAAGTTTGTATGTCGCCCCGCGTACCTTGTCGGTCTGCCACGAAACATTTGCTAACCTGGCTGCAGTTCATGTTCTTCGTCGGACCTATTCAGTTCGTCATGGAGGCCGCTGCCGTCCTGGCTGCTGGTCTTGAGGACTGGATCGATTTTGGTGTCATTTGCGGTCTTTTGCTGCTCAACGCTGTTGTCGGTTTCGTTCAGGAATTCCAGGCCGGATCTGTAAGTCAACTTGGCCCCACAACTGGCACGCGTTGCCAAGGGTCTCCCAGAACTGCATTGCTGACCCCCACCCAAGATTGTCGCCGAACTCAAGAAGACTCTTGCCCTGAAGGCTGTCGTTCTCCGTGACGGCACCCTGAAGGAGGTTGAGGCCCCCGAGGTTGTTCCCGGTGATATCCTTCAGGTTGAGGAGGGTACCATTATCCCCGCCGATGGAAAGATCGTGACCGAGGATGCTTTCCTCCAGGTCGATCAGTCCGCCATCACTGGTGAGTCTCTGGCTGTCGACAAGCACCAGAACGACTCTTGCTACGCTTCCTCCGCTATCAAGCGTGGTGAGGCTTTCATCATCGTTACTGCCACTGGTGACAACACCTTCGTCGGTCGCGCTGCCGCTCTCGTCAACGCTGCCAACTCCGGCACCGGTCACTTCACTGAGGTCCTGAACGGCATTGGTACCATTCTCCTGGTCCTCGTCGTCTTCACTCTCCTCATCGTCTGGGTTTCCTCCTTCTACCGCTCCAACGGCATTGTCGACATCCTCCGCTTCACTCTCGCCATTACCATCATCGGTGTCCCCGTCGGTCTTCCTGCCGTCGTCACCACCACCATGGCTGTCGGTGCTGCCTACCTCGCCAAGAAGAAGGCCATTGTCCAGAAGCTTTCCGCCATCGAGTCCCTTGCTGGTGTCGAGATTCTCTGCTCTGACAAGACCGGTACCCTGACCAAGAACAAGCTCTCTCTTGCCGAGCCCTACACCGTCGCCGGTGTCGACCCCGAGGACCTCATGCTCACTGCCTGCTTGGCTGCTTCCCGCAAGAAGAAGGGTATGGACGCCATCGACAAGGCTTTCTTGAAGTCGCTGCGCTACTACCCCCGCGCCAAGTCTGTCCTGTCCAAGTACCAGGTTCTTGAGTTCTTCCCCTTCGACCCCGTCTCCAAGAAGGTCACCGCCATCGTCCAGTCCCCCGCCGGTGAGCAGATTACCTGCGTCAAGGGTGCTCCCCTCTTCGTCCTCAAGACCGTCGAGCAGGACCATGAGATCCCCGAGGAGATCGACCAGGCCTACAAGAACAAGGTTGCCGAGTTCGCTACCCGTGGTTTCCGTTCCCTTGGTGTTGCCCGCAAGCGTGGTGAGCACGGCGCCTGGGAGATCCTCGGCATCATGCCCTGCTCTGACCCCCCTCGCCACGATACCGCCCGCACTGTCAACGAGGCCAAGGTTCTCGGTCTGTCCATCAAGATGCTTACTGGTGACGCCGTCGGTATCGCTCGTGAGACTTCTCGCCAGCTTGGTCTCGGCACCAACATCTACAACGCTGAGCGCCTCGGTCTCGGTGGTGGTGGTGACATGCCCGGTTCCGAGGTTTACGACTTCGTCGAGGCTGCCGATGGTTTCGCCGAGGTCTTCCCCCAGCACAAGTACAACGTCGTCGAGATCCTTCAGCAGCGTGGCTACCTCGTTGCCATGACTGGTGACGGTGTCAACGACGCTCCCTCCCTGAAGAAGGCCGATACCGGTATTGCCGTCGAGGGTGCCTCTGACGCCGCTCGCTCCGCTGCCGACATTGTCTTCCTTGCCCCCGGTCTTGGTGCCATCATCGACGCCCTCAAGACTTCCCGCCAGATTTTCCACCGCATGTACGCCTACGTCGTCTACCGTATCGCCCTGTCCATCCACTTGGAGATCTACCTTGGTCTTTGGATCGCCATCCTCAACCGTTCCCTGAACATTGAGCTTGTCGTCTTCATTGCCATTTTCGCTGATATCGCTACCCTTGCCATCGCCTACGACAACGCCCCCTTCTCCAAGACCCCCGTCAAGTGGAACCTGCCCAAGCTCTGGGGTATGTCCGTTCTTCTCGGTGTCGTCCTCGCTGTCGGTACCTGGATTACTGTCACCACCATGTACGCTCACGGCCCCGACGGCGGTATCGTCCAGAACTTCGGTAACATGGATGAGGTTCTCTTCCTTGAGATCTCCCTTACTGAGAACTGGCTGATCTTCGTCACCCGTGCCAACGGCCCCTTCTGGTCCTCCATCCCCTCGTGGCAGCTGTCTGGTGCCATCCTGGTTGTCGACATCCTCGCCACCCTCTTCTGTATCTTCGGTTGGTTCCAGCACAACGAGCAAACCTCCATCGTCGCCGTTGTCCGTATCTGGATCTTCTCTTTCGGTGTCTTCTGCGTCTGCGCTGGAGTTTACTACATGCTCGAGGACAGCAAGGGCTTTGACAACCTCATGCATGGCAAGTCCCCCAAGGGCAGCCAGAAGCAGCGTTCGCTCGAGGACTTTGGTAAGTTTATACATCCCACCCCACAAAAAGTGACATGTTACAGAACCCTAGCTAACTGTTTCACCAGTCGTTTCCCTGCAGCGTGTCTCTACCCAGCACGAGAAGTCTCAGTAAAGAAGGATGTTTCTTCACAGCCTTCCTCATCGGCTCTGGGTGCTCTTTCTTGGGCCGCATAGACATTTGGCCTTAATCAACCGGAGGAGGAGTGACATCGCCTTCTCTTTGTTTAAAACAGTTTGATGTCGACCTCAACGGTAATTACTGTGATTCGAGTGGAGGGGGAGAATACCCTAGTAGTGCGCATAGACCTAATACAAATTCGTAAAATTTATGATAAACCTCACAGCCTTTTCAAGTGACGTCCTCGTATTGGCTTGTTGAAAGTGTTTAGATGTCGTCCGCACATGTCTGATTGAATGGATTGTCGAATAGAAAGAGACAAGGTACACTATGTCAACTCCAATCCAACCAAATATCAGCGTCCTCAAGGTCCGGGTATTGCATGTGTATCCAACTGTTCTATTCTCTAGTCATGTGTATATTCTATTGAGGAACGACGACATCCTTGGAGGTATCCAGCTCCTCGTGTCTTCTCAAGTCCATGGGCCGGTCAAGCAGGGGAATGACGTATGGGTCGAATGTCTTCCAGTAGGGGTTCTCGAGGTGGTACTTTTGGCTCTGTGGTCGGAGGAGACAGGTCAGTCAGGCTGGTCATTGACAACCCAATGGGCGTGTATTTGGGGAGGAAGGGGAAGAGGTAGGTGGCTTTGGCTTACAGCCTCGGTCTCGAAGCGCTCGACGATAGTGAAGGACCTGGGGTCGTGGACGTCTTGCATAACGAACCAGCTGACGGTCTCCCTGTCCTTGGAGTAGACGCGGGAAGCCTCGACGAGCTTGGCCTTGAGGCGGTCGACGGAGTCGGGGTGGTCGTTGGCGTGGAGGTGGACGGTGATTGTGTAGACCATTTTGGCGGTTTTTTGGTGGTTGGATGGGGGTTGGTGAAGAAGAAAGAGGTTTGGGTAGCTTTGTGAGGTGCGAAGGAAAAGGGGAAAGGGAGCTTGGGGATAGCTGTCACTGGCCTTGGCGGGAAGTCTGGCGGAGGGGTGGAGGGGCAGCTCAGCAGAGGCACCTCAGAGGTGGAGGGGCGGCGGGGTGGAGAGGAGGGGTTTGAGTTTGGATGGTGTGGATGGGGTTTCTACCCGTTTTTTCTCGTAGAATGCTTGGAATGTCTCTTGGGGTGAGGGGGTGTTTGGTTCACGGGTAAGTGTCTTGAACATTGTGTGGTTTCTTTTTTTTTCGCTACGGTACTTTGGGCTGGTTGTGTGTAACTGTTGGAAATGGCTGGCTTGGCGATGGTTTCAATTTTGTGTTACGGATGTGAGGAGGCTGAATGATAGCGAAGGTCACGACGAACGCCCTGGAGGTTGGGGATAGACATCTGGCTGGCGCCTCCTGATCCTCTGGCCATTTCCTCTACATCTCATTCGCAAGTTCAAGCCGTCAAATCGACCGTTCGATTCCACTGAGATGCCATGCTAGACGTTTGTCCCGGGAGGTTGGTCACGTACCAGATCGCCGAGAGCCCCGTTCCACGGCGCGGGAAGCCGTCGTCGTTGACCGTCGAAAGCCGTTGTCAGACTTTGGCATGCTTCTAGATGAGCTAACCAGTATTACCAAGATCACCAGCAGCGCCGCGCCTCGGGGCCGCCTAGCGTTTTGGCCAAAACTTCAAGACAACGGGGCGTCGGGTGTGTGTGGGATAAAGATCAAGCCTTCCCTAGCGGCCTTTGCCCGAGTTTGGCCGTTGATGGCTGCTTATTGGAACAAGCGGAGGTTGGGGAAGCCTCTCCAAGTGGACTTTGAGGCTGACCGGGGGAATAAACTTGTTCTAGTGCAAAAGCGACCGATTATTCCAGCGAGACCGAGGAGATGCCGCAGCTGGGTGTAGTGTTGGTTTGGTGATGGGTGGTGGTGTGTACTAAGCTAATTCTTAGGCTCGCTACTTTCCCAGGGAGCGATGGCCGCCCGCGGTTCGTAGTCCTGGTGCTGCGCGGGCTGCATCCCGCCTCCACACGCGCGGCATTTGGGGCTGTCACATCAGCGGAGGTTTAGAGTAAGGCGGCTTTTAGCTCGCCCGCGCCGGGCTTACAGCGCTTCAACGCAGTGTACCACACCCTCTTCAGGGCGACTCCGAGCTGCTGCTGTCTTGGGTTTGTAGGCCGGCCGGCGCCGGTGCCGACGACTGCCACCACTCCCTCCACTTTTTCCTTCCCTTCTTTTTTTCTTCCACCTCTGCTGGTGGTGTCCCCCCCGGCCATTCCTGCCGCTCATCCAACTTCATCGAGACCCCATTGCCGTACCACACTGCCTGCTCGGCGCCACCGACGCCATCTTCTCCCGGGGGTGCTCTCCCCTTTGTCAGCTCGTCGACGACATCGTGCCGCAAGGCCCATGCATGGAATTCCCCCAAACCACATGTGCAAGTGACCATCTGCTGGAATCTGCTTTGGTGGTACACACCCTCATGGGCAACACACTCACACTCACATCACCAGACGGCTCACAGTACTTTTCACTTAGCTTGACAAACTGTGCGCCGCCCTGTTTGGATCAAAGGAAGCTAGTTGGATATTTTTTTTTCTTTCTTCTTGGTGCTTACCTATTGGGAAAGCACACCCTCCTTCCCATCCCAACGACTAGCACTCAAGTCATATCCTGTACTACTCATCTCTTGGGCGGGCACTTACTCACCGACCTTTCACCTCGGGACCGAAATCCCAGAGCTGCGGTTTTCATTCTCACCACGCCTCGGAGTCGGACAGAGCACAGCGCTGATCACGGCGCCGAAAACCGACGCCATGGCACCCCAACAACGGATGCAAATCCCTGGATTCTACTATGGTGAGCTACCCGCACGCCCACTCCACCCACCACCCCAGGGGTGACTTACACGAACAAACAAGAAACAACCCGGCTGACATAGGACTATAGACGAGGAGAAGGGAAAGTACTTCAAGATCGAAAAGGCGCAGTCGGCGCCGCAGAACGCCGCGTGGTCCGCAGAGAGCGTCAAGCGGCGTAAGGTCAAGCATCGCGAGGCCGAGGCCGTCGCCGCGCGCCAGGAAAGGCTTAAGCGGCACATTGTCCGGTCCGCCGTGCTCCGGGACCCCCTCCTCGGCGGATTCCTCGAAGCCGAGCTCGGCGTTGTGAAGAGAGAGAGGAAGATCCGGAGCGGTGGCGGCGGCGGCAGTAGCTTTGGGGTGAATGACGTCCCTGCCGCTGCGTGGGCGAGGGGGTTGACGGACAAGGGGGATGTGCCGTTCGTGCCCAGCTTCGCGACGGGGAGGTTTCCCAACATCCCGTGCTTTTGGATCGGTGGGCACGACGACAAGACGGGGCTCGGGGTCGCGTATGCGAGTGAGTTGGCCCTCGTGAGGTCTTGGGTTGGTGTGCGTATGCTAAAGTTTTGCAGCTGTTGACGAAGAGACTGTGATCGGGTCGTATATACCCACCAACCAGAATGACGAGTATGTTGGTCTGGTGATCTACGGTGTCGAGATACTGACATTCGCAGGATATCCTTCAGTACAGATGCTTCCAGTCGTCCGGAGCATCGGCTGTCGCATCGCCATGAGATGATTGGCTGCCCTCAGATCTCATCCATCAACTACCACCCTAACTCACACCGTATGATCATAACATCACGGGAACCGAGTAACAATACAAACCTCTACCTCTTTTCGCCGCCACGGTCTGCCCCAAACGACCACCGGCCGCAGTGGTTGCTTGACAGGGGTAACTTGTCCTTTATGTGCCCTCCACAGATCTCATTCACTGACCCATCCACAGCTAACAACCTCCGTCACATCTCTTACCGCAGCGGCCGCCACGAGGGTGTCGTCAACTCAACGACCATAGGACCGCCTTCCTCATCCAACCTAATCTGCGTCATCGGCACCAGCTTCGGTCTGCTCAGGCTCATGGGCGACGAGCGCGTCAGATGGCTCGGCCCGCCCCGGCCCCGCCCTGGCCCCCCGGAGGGCGACTTCTTCACCTCGTCCTTCCTCCCGGACAACCCCAACGTCCTGTTCGCGGGCGGTCGAAATCCCACCATAAAGCTGATGGACATGCGCACGATGTGGGACCACTGGGAGCTCCTCCCCATCGGGCCCGTCGCACACCTGGAGGCCGTGAACCCGCACCAGTTCGTCGCGGCGGGGCCGCGGTCGCGGATGGCCGTGTTCGACATACGGTACCGCCGCTTGCTCCCGAACGGCGTGCGACCGGTGGTTGAGTTCGAGGGGTACAAGAACGAGGCGCACATGCACATCGGCTGGGCCGTCGACGCGGACGCCGGGGTCGTGGCGGCGGCGCACGATGACGGGGCCGTGGGGATGTATTCGCTGCTGTCGGGGCGGAGGCTGCGGTGTCCTGCTGTGGACGGGATCAAGGGACGGACGCCGATTAAGAGTTTGAGATTCACGGCTATGCCGGGGAAGCGGCACAAGAGCTTGTTTGTTGGATTGGGACCGAATTTGAAGATGATTAGTGTTGGTGCCTTGGGGGCGGATGATGAGTGTTGATGGGTTTTGGAGTGTTGTAGGATACCCCTGGATTGGATCAAAGGAGGATGAAGCCGGGCTGAGGCAAGAGAGAGTTGTGGAATATTGATGTATGATTGTTCGTTCCTACCATGCAGACATGGTACACATATGTCAAGTTTGACCATGATCATCTCTGCAGCAAACCCCCCGAACCCCCAATGTTCTTCTTTGTGTTCGCAAGGTCACACACTCGCAGAAACCTTCACAGGACCAAGATAGCAAGTTCAACGGCCGAGAACCATTTCAACTTCGCAGTGATGGCGTCGTTGACTATTCTTGGGCCAATACTTAAGCACGAGTGATCAAGGTCAGAGGTGGGCCCCGCCTCGCACACAGCGGTCAATATCAGGCGTGACGCCCCTTGCATCGATCAGAATCGTTGTTCTCGACGTCATAAACTCACGCTTTTCAGTGACTTCTATCTTTTGGTGGTCGACCCAGAACCTTGAGCATGGCTCTGCTTAAATACCCCTTATATCGGTTGCCGAGTGCGTCTTTCGGACGAGCATGTACATGAGTCCCAGTGGCGAGTATGGGTATGTACGTGACGTTGGGAGACGGCGAGGACGAGCAAATCAATGCATCTCTGGAAGGATCTCTGAACAGGCATGGCACGAGGACAGGCTATCATCATCCATCCCTCGTCATCTAAGGAACTATGTTATGACAATGCAGCCGCGCCTTCAACTATGTGTGTCTTGGCACCTCGACGCGAATACTTGGGAAAGGATGACTAGCGTCGATACAGGCTGAGGTCGTCGTTATCTTTGGATCATTCTGATCACATTGCTTGACTTCCCGTTGGATGGGAGATACCTGCTCTACATTGAGAAGCTAGCCGCCCGGAAGAAGCCTACTGCTTAGGAAACTGGCTATTGGGCATGGGCATAGCTTATAAAGACACCAAGAGACACGTAGTAATGGTCTATGAAGGATATCAGCGCGAGACTGTTCAATTGACGATCACACTTCAGTCTTAAAAGTCTGGTATGGTTCTGGAAGTGTTTGTGACCTTTGTATGAGGTTGAAACCTGGCCAGGGCTGAACGAGGTGCTGCCTTTTGCTCGTTGCTATTTGATGATGTCAGACGATGTGTTACTCCAAGATCTTCCTGGCTGATGTTGATTCTGTATAATACTCCGAGAGCCATGATGACAAGTATTAGCCGCTGCAGCGCTGTCCCTTTTCTAACTTCCATAGTCGTCCCTGGTGCAGTAGATGCAGAGCCTGCTCCCTCAACTTGAGAAACGGTTCTGATTCTCTTCGAATATCTTCAGTTGCGTCTCGCGAGCGCAGGATTGAAGTAAATCTAGAGAGGTCCACGGACTAGATTAGAGCTTACGACGGGGTTTTTTAAAGACGCGATCTAGAGCGTTGTCACGTCGTCTCTCTGAGCTTGGTCAGGCTCATCAGTATTTCGCAAGACAGCGAGGTCCTCGGACAACCTTATAAGTACGCTGTAAAGTCCTGAATTTGCATTTTCGCGAGCAAAGAATGATTCTGGCTGGCAGTTGCGGCTTTTTGGTGTGAGCCTCGATCGACAACTGAGAGCGGTATCATCATGATCATTCGGCGCCATTCATCCGCCCACCACCCGCATAGGGATAAGATTTGTATCTCATCTTTTCTGTCGGGCTATTCATTTCCGAATATGACCGTGGCGGGGTGGGTGATGATTCTGGAGCTGATCTTGGCCAGCCACGGTGAGGTCTAGACTGCGCGTCATCATGGACAGTGACTTAAACCCAGGAGAGAACCGTCCAAGAGATATGATAACGTCAGGTTGATTTGTTTGACAAGAATATGAGACTGCCTGGTCTCATGTTCTGATACAGAGAGACAAAGATTGAGTTGTCTTCTATATCTCCATGCGATTTCGTAGACTCTTCTCAAACTGACTGGCCTATTATCGTATATCTCACAAGAAGACTTGTCAGCTGATCTCTGAGTGTCCTTCCCGAATTCAGAGAAGATGATCCAGATATACGGTCTGCCATTGCTTCTCTAAACCTCCACTGCTATAGTCTGGAGTCCGGAGTCAACTCCTTTTCGAGAAACTATATCTTGGCAGAATTGGTCATTAGCGCTCAAGGGAACAAATCATAGACAGTCTTCACCCGTCTCCTTCAACAGTGACTACATTCTGCTGCGTTTCGTAATTTCAAGCAGCAAAAATGCCCTATTCGCAGTCTCGAGACTTCATCCCGTTGTACATGCCAGTGTCCCCGTTGCTGTTTGTGGGGTATTCCATGGATGATACCGAGGACAAGAGAGCCCACTGAAACCAAACCAAGCCTGCCGTCTAGGTTCAGCGTTACGACATGAGATGCAGCCCTGACATCGAAGACGTGAATCTGCTGGTGAAAGTAGCATACATGTATTGACCAGGAGCTCATTTGTGGGTTGTCACAACCGGCTTTGCTTGGAGATCTGTTTTATAGATTCCTACTTATCCAGCCCGCGGAGCTCTATTACGTTTCTGGACTGCCAGGCTGGCAAGTTCTTGACAGCTCCGTTTGTACGATTTAAAGCGGCTCTTGTCCTGGTCAAATAGGCGAGCCAGACAACAAACAGACTACCTTCCTTCCTGGAGTTGTTTTTTGTATCCAAAAAAAGATCTCAGCCACGGACGGATTATCGGTGCCTGCATCTACAATCCGCAAAAGCCGTTTGCCGTACTGTATGAAACCGTCCTCCACTACCAGCGGAATTTTCCACGTATTTGAACGGTATACATGCCGCCGTTCATATCGAAACGGACCATACTATGCTTTCCTGCAGTCATCTGACAGATAGAAAAGAGCACACGCCTGTCCATTCTATGCTGAATTCACATGAAGGCAGCGATAGCGGCTTCACCGGTATTGTGTTCGTTCTTACTTTGCGTATGCAGAAGATGAAAGAGTCTTTATAGTATTTCTAGGACTGTAAACTTACCCTTCCTTGTGACGCAGGTTGCCCATCAGCATGTGTTGAGTTGGCCCCGGACTTGCAGATACCGCTCGAATACTGCGCAAAACCATAACCCAACTGCCTTTTGTCTATAAAATGACTCTATCTCAAGTAACGTCGACTCTATATTCTCACAACAGCAGCCTCCCGAACCAGCCTATCCCCTATCCCTCCCACAACAGCCGCATTCACAAGCACCGTCTCGCCCCTTCCCCTCCGACCGCCCCTCCACCAAACGCCAATACAAGCCCTCATCATCCTCGCAAACGCTGTGATTCCCCTTCCACCCTTTGAAACGTCCAAAACGACATCCTCCCACGCCCCCTGAACCTCATCGAACCCAATAGCCTCAACCCCATGCCCACAGTGAACGTGCCCGAAGACATGCAACCTGGGCCTCACCCTCCACAACTCCCTCAAGAGCATCTCGCACCCCCAGTTCCCCTGCGGATCGTCCATATGCCCCTTCGGCGGCGCATGCGTGACCAGCACATCCGTCCCCGCGGGGACCCTTCCCGCCCACGGGTCCAGCGGCCCGGACCGGGGATACTGGAACGCCCAGTTCCCGTGCTGCGGCGTGTACGGGCTGCCGTACACTCTGATCTCTCTCGTCTTACTCCCGATGCCGCCTGCAACCGGCACTTTGAGCGTGGCGGACGCGCAGTCAAGATACACCACATCCCCCCAATCCACCTCTCCCTCCTCTTCTCCTTCCCTCAACCTCTCGTCGAGACAGAGGTCATGGTTCCCCGCCACCACGACCTTGAACCTGTGCTCCTGCGCTTTGATCCAGTTCACAGTCTCTCTTAGCTCAGCCCGCGTCCCCGAGACGGTGAGGTCGCCCGCGTGGACGAGGATGTCGCCCGGCGGCAGGCGCGGTCGTGTGTTGTGCGTGTCGGAGATGCAGACCACCGTCACCGCGTCTTCGCGCGGCACGGCGGGGAAGGAGACGGGGAAGAAGGTGGAGAGGTAGCGTGCGATGGTGGTGATAGGGGAGGCGACGAGGCGGTCCCAGAATGTTTCGGGGGGCCGGTTGAGGATTGCGTCGAGGCCTGATGGGGGGTTTCTGAAGAGGCGCATGGTGTTTTTGTGTGTCTCTACGGTCGAGTGCTGATGTACCTTGTGTAAGATGATATGGTAGATGCGAATTCCGTATTCGAAGTGGTTCTTCTACTTCATGGGTATCCAATGCCAGAGATGTGTTGCCTGGCAAGAACACACCCTGGTCGGCTAATAAAGCCAACTAGATCCTTTCCTGACCACGACACGCAGTACATTGCTAGATGTGGCTGTGTCGTGAAAGGACTCAAGAACAGTCACAATTTTTGACAAAGTTCTGACTCTAGACAATTCAGTCTGCTGGCGGTGGGCTTTGTGCTCTCACTTTGAAGACCGTTTGATTGGGGGCTGGCCTATGACATGATTGTGACAAATCACCTAATTCTGCGGGAACACAAGATCTCGTTTTCTTGGAAGACGTCAGCCAGCATTGCTTTCCTCAGTTGACACAGACGAAGTCGAAATGGAACAACAACGACAAGCAGTTTCTTTGGATCTGGCAAAGATGTTTAGGGTTCTTCTGTGAGATACTGGCGTAGGGGTTGAGTGGGTGTCACTGCCGGCTGAGATTAGCATCTTCTTCAACACCCAAGCGCCGAACCGATTCAATTACAAAAGATAACGAAGTAGTCCAATAACAGACAAACATCCACGATTTTGCGATGTGAATTGACGCAAATAGCAAAAGATTAGGTCCATCCAGGATTCGAACCTGGGCCTACGGAAGAGTCTGGGTGCGAATCAGAATCCGACGTCCTAACCAACTAGACTAATAGACCATTAGGATCAACGGAGAACAATCCCGTTTGTTGGAAATCGAGCGGGCACACCGTAACCTATAGCCTTAGTGCCAGTATCGCCCAAGTCCACGCCGAATCCTTCATGCTATTCCAGCAAGTCGACACTATGCGTTGGTTCAAAGAGAATGCCGAGTTGAACGCTTGACATTTACCGTCCCGCCATGACAGCAACACCAAAGCATGTCCCCTACCGATCGGCCACTCACCTCCTATGAGTAGCCCAGTAAGAGGATGCCCACCGTCTTATGAAATGCGACGTCTGAAGAACCCATGATCAAGAGTTGTATGCCGTTGGGTGTCATCCTGAGTAACGAAAGATTCTACAAAGTACTAAGACTCCCCAAACGCCAAACCATGCTATGCGCCTCGGAATCAAAGACAAGAAAAACAATGACGGCCAGAACACAATGTCTGACCCTCAAATCGATAACCCCAATATACCCGCCAGACCTTTTTCGTAAGGACTCCTAAACTCATTTCAAGATAGCAATCAACAGAACCAAGATGATGATGAGCACAATGATGGCAATCATCTGCTTGCTCTCCCCCGCGTCCCTCGCGACCTTGCCCAGCTGCCGCCTCGCGCGGTCCAGGCGTCCCTGGTGCCGGTCCACGACGCCGTCGACCTCGTCCAGCATCGCGACGTGCGAATCCAGCTCGTCGCCAATCTGCATACTCAGCTCCCGCTGGCGCCCGATAGACTCGCCCAGCCGGTCGAGGTGGTCGTCCTGGTCGCGCATGATTTGCGAGTGGTACTCGTGGATCTGCTGGTTGTCCATGCCCTCGGCCTGGTCGCGGTACCCCGCCGAGTCCGTCGGATCGTCGCGGTAGCGGCCCTCGCCGAAGAGGGCGGCCGCATTGGGGTCCTCCGCGGCGGCGGCGGGCGAGTCGGTGAAGCGCACCGTCTTGTTCGCGGAGCCGCCGGCGGGAAGACCGCGGAGGGAGCCCTTGAGCGGTTTCGTGGACTGGGCGGCGGCGAAGTCGGGGGAGAGGGACGGGTCGTTCGGGGACGTGGTCGTGGACGAGGTGGACGGGTTCGAGAAGCCGTGGAACTGGGATGTGAGGTCCGAGAACTGCTTTTGCAGGGCGGGGAGGGAGTCGGTGATGTTCTGGGCGGCGCTGCATTGGGTCACATCTCTGGTCAGCGCATGTTTCTTTTTTGCTGATGGTGATGTCGGTGGAGAAGGTCCGGAACATGACGTCGCTTGACGTTTTGGAGATATGGGGGTCTCTGTCTGTCGGGGAAGACAGGAAGGGTTACCTCTCATCGCCGGCGCCCTGGAGGCGCTGGACCTCTGAATCTAGAAACTCCAGGCCATCGCGGAACTGGTCCAGCGAGCGTGAAATGTGACCGTCCTGCGTGTCGGCGTCGAGGTTGAGCGACTGGGCGCGCTGGCGTTCGAGGAGGGAGAGCTTGATATGGTCGGCGAGGAGGTAGAGCTGGTTCAGGCTGGACATGGTTGCCGTCGTGTGCCTGTGCCCTCGGTATATAGTCTAAAGGGAAAAGACGGAAACAAAGAAAGCGGCTTCGATGCCAATTGTGCGACTCCAACACTCGACGATGCGGTCTTGCTTTCAATCTGGACGGCGAAACACGACTCGGACGTGGATAGAGCGGATGTAAGATTCGGGGTTCTGGAGGTGTTCATGCAGGCGACGCCTGAACGGGGACGGGGGTTGAGACACCAAGCGCTGAGAGGCTATGTGGAGGACAGTCCGCCCGGCGCCCAGCAGGTCGGATTACGTTTGCGGTACAGGCAGCGGCTTTGCGGTTCCTGCTATTTACAGGGATGCAGTCGCCCGCCTGCGGATTTAGGGTGCCTGGGGCGCACCGGGGTAGCGCTTCTGGTGGGTTACGGTCGCCGGGCTTAGCTGGAGGTATGAAATGTATGAAATGGGGCAGCCTGGAGCTTCCATTGCTTCCGCTCTGGACAAAGTCTAGACTCACACATGCTTACAGATGTATCACTGCTCGAACTTCTTTTGTTTTCTCGACTGCTTGCTTCTGCCCTGTCATTGATTTGTCTACGTGTCACATTAGTACGTAACCAAGACAGCTTCGTAAGTTGTCCTCATCATCCGCGCCTGCTCCAGCTATGACACCGCAATGATTGTCACTTTGCTTCTCCGCCTTGACGTTGGCTTTGAACTTCAGAAAGCGGACGTCGAATTGCTCTGTTTCGTCTCGGGATAACCACAGAAAGACGACTTGTTCATCACAAGACAACTCTGATAGGAGGCATATTGTCTCATTCTATCAATGCGTCTACTCTCAACTCCTTCACTCCTTCACAAGCACTAACGAATGACGCCTCCCTCCTTGAAAATACCGTCCAGTCCTTCGAGTATATCGCTGCCACTCAACACCCCAACACCACCCATCGGGGCGTTCTTTCCGTCTTTCCAAACATCGTGGAACTTGACGTTCTCATCACTTGTAGCCATGACGATGCTCCCTTCCTTCACACTCCGACTTCCCTTTTTTGCATCAGCTGGTGCTCCAGGGTACGGAATAGCATGTAGAACACGAGCGCCATTGTCCAACGCAACAGCGCCAATTTGTTCGCACGATGGCCAGTTGAACACTGCGATTCGATAAGGGTGATCCGGCGTTGCGTACCCAAACGTAGCCACAATCTCGGGCCGTGTCGTGGACCAGATCAACGATGTCACCTGCGCCGACACGGCAATGGTGGCCAAAGGGGTGCCTGTTCCCGTGTGCCAAAAGTGAATGCATTTGTCGCTCGATCCGCCCCCCGTAGCGATGAGAGTCTCTTGCCAAGGACAAAAGGCGATTGCCTTGACTGCAGCGCCATGCCTCTAGCAATGCTTTTCTGATCCGCGAACAAATGTGGTCAGTTCATCTGCCTGTTCTTGAACAAGGTGGCCGCCGTTGCCTCGGACGTCTGGTTCTGCCATGGCTTCGCTCGCAGATGTGCCGTAAAGAAACGACTCCAAGCTCTTCGGTAACCAAGAAAACCGGCTTGCGGAGCTGTTGCCGGCGATTTCTGATGACCTCGAGTGGACTTCTGATCTTCGACCTCGGCGGACGGTCTCGTTGGATGATGTGCTGCTGATGCGCTTGCGTGTTCTCAGCATCTCCTCAATCTCGAAGTAGCATGCCATATTATCATTGGACCCGGAGACAAATTCATGGCCACTCGGTGCCCAAACAAGACCGCATATCTGCTGAGTATGAACTGCAATAGTCGCCACCAGTGTTGCCGTGCCGCTCCAAGAGTCTCGGCCTACTTCCCATGTATGTGGCCACTCAACAACGTAGTAACAGATCTGGCCTTGTTCGTTACTGACGAGAAGGTCTTCCGTGGGCACAAGGCCACCAGAACCGTTTGGGTTCTTGGACGGTCTCATTGTTACTGTTGGCCGCTAGCTGACACAGCTGACCGAGGTTTGTTGCCTGAGCGACATGCGCGGTAGACTCTCGAATAGGGATATCAGAGTTATTTGACCGCCAGCTCTCCCGATAGCGAGTATGGCTTTGCCCCCTCCCACGGAGGAAAAGGACAACGAAGTGACCCAGCCTTTGTGATGGAAAAGGTCAATGGGAACTGCGCCAAATTGCTCTGTCCATCCGTATAAGGCGCTGCCTAACCCGACAGCCAGAGAACCGCAAGTTGGTGAATACGCCAGCACTGAACAGTAGTAGTCATCTCGGAGCCCAGGCGCGTCAAGTACTTTGTAAGACGTGGTGGGTAGATTGTGCTGCACTGGCCGTGTAACTGCAGGCGGTAATAAAACGTCAGTGAGGCAAAATGCACGCGTGGGCAGGAAAACACTTGCCAGTATTCTTCTCGGGGCTTACCCATCTCGTTCCGGTCCAGTGCGTTCTTGATTCTAGCTGTGCTTGCTGGCTCTTTTGTGTCAATGTTCGACTTAGCGAGGGGACCGGATGCTCGAAATCGAGCAGTCTCTCAACCTGGTTGATTTGCAAAGCATCGGCGACGATCCCTTGATTGCGCTCAAAGTCCTCTCTTCGTTTGATGCGAGAAGTTGCAAAATTGGTAGTGAACAGCCGCGCGTTCGTGCCACTCTCGAGATAGTGACCACGGCCATCATCTACGGCGGTTCCAGGAGGAGGGGCCGGACCGCCAACGGTCCAGACTGTGCCGTGGCCATCCGGCCTCTGGTTTTGGTTCTGTGACATGACAGACAGAACCGTGGGAACTGATTATTGTTAGTATCTTGAAGAAGCCGGTCGTTTTGCTGCTTACTTGGGTAGGTCGAGTTGGATATAGATCGAAAGTTGGATGCTAAAGCAACGACACGTTGTTGTGGCCTCTGGAAGGGATCCGACGTGGCACTTTGATGCCTCAACAGCCTCTCTGTTGGCGAAAAAGAATCGAGATCTTTGGTGACCCGGATCTTTTCGGAGGACGGCGTGGCAGGATCTCGACGAGGAACGAAACGGTCTGGACTGTGCAGAGAGCCACCGCTGCGGGGCGATGAGCTGTTACAAACCCGTGGCCTTTTGGATGGCGTTACTGAAGGCGAGCTCGGGTGATTGAGTGACACGGAGCCCAACTTCGGGCGTGAGGTGGTTGACGGTGACAAATGCGTGCTCTTGTCATCTTCCGAGCCTCGGTCTCCGGCTGCTGAGCCGTCTACAGAAAGGTGATAGTTGGTGCGGTCCAGAAGGCGTCCACTCCTGGGTGGTGTCTCATTCTCAATATTCCAACCATAGTCTTCGGGCGAGTCGTCAGAAAGGTACCCGGAGTCCCGAGAGCTGGAACCTAGTGGTCTTGACTTGCCCCGAACTTTGGGGCATCGACTCATCTTTCGATTCTGAGTAGATGCTGGCCGCAATGTTGGTGACTGGGAGAATGAAGATGCAAGGGAAGTACTAAAAATTTATCAGAAAAAAGAAATTCGTAGTTGAAGAATATGGGGATCGATGCTGCTAGGTGACGGTCGTCAAGGACTACAAGACGAAGCCGTCATACGCACGCCGACGAATATTTGATGGATGAACGATGTCAAGTCGACGACGGTACCTAGGGGAGAGAAAGGTTTTAGGAGCGGAGATGGAGGGAACAAGGAGAAAAGTCGACATTTTTGGGAAATTTCCATCACTAGATAGATGGTCCCTTAGCCCATCCTGCCTAGAAGGTGCCCTCTTCAAACCTGAGGTAAGTCAGGAACAAGAGGCAAGAGGCTTTGTGACGCTGGTCAGGGAGTTGCCGCCTCACAATCTCCAGCGTGTGTCACATGAAACCCATTCCTGAGCTGAAGTGTTCCTAGAAGTGCAGATGATGACGGGAGTTGCTGCTGGCAGGATAATCACGAGAGGAGCTTCCTCTTTGTCATCACCTGCACTGTGGGAGGGAGGTGACGTAGGAAAATGGCAGCGCGACGCAGCGCAGCGTACGCGGGTCGGTGCCTTCTTCACCGGGAGCTCGGGCCAAAGTGGCTAAATGACATGCCTAAACGAGACATCTCTGGGGACCTGTCCGCCTGCCTCATCCGCCAAACACCGCCTGGGTGGTGGGGAATCCCTGTCGGCTCATTCAACGCCCGCATCAGCTTCAACCGCCCAGAGCTCCCTCACCGGGACATCTTTCCGGGCTCTTACACCTCCCCATCCGCCCTTGTCGTCTCCATTCCCAAGTCTATTCCGCTCTCCTGGAGCATCCAAGAGTTCCTCATGGACACCGTAGGTTTCACCACCTTGCAACACTTGTCCCCATGCTAGCCTGCTGGCCTTTCCAGCATTTCCATCGCCTCCGCATCTCCAAGACCATCGTACTGATACCTCACCCTCGCAGCACGGCGTAGCCCGCACAGCCCGGAAGCCACGCACCGAAGCACAGCTGCAGGCCGACCTCGCCAAGATCGCGAACCTACGTTCCCTCGAAGACAGCCTCCTCCGTGCCGGCCCCGATCCCTCCGACCCCGAAACCTTCTCCCTCACCACCAAGCTCCTCCGCCTCAACCCGGAGCATTACACGGCATGGAACGTCCGCAGGCGCTGCCTAACCTGTGGATCATTATCAAGACCCTCGCCTGGGCCATCGCCGTCGGCGCCGCCCGCGAGTTCATCAGCAGCATGCACTCAGTCTCCGTCCTCCGCCGACTCGTTGCCCTCTTCCTCGACCACGACCCAGCCCGCCCCCGCGTCCCAAGCGGCCCCAGAGAATGGGAAGAGTGGTACAACAGCTGACCAGATACCCGATGCGCCGTCTCAACCCTCCAAGGGTGCTTCGAGCGAGGACGTTATCAACACGCTCAAGAACGAGCTGACGTTCACGATACCCCTCCTACTCGAGTTCCCCAAGAGCTACTGGATCTGGAAGTACCGTTCGTGGCTGCTCCAAAAAGCAATCGAGCTCCTGCCGAAACCGATAGCTCGTCGCATATGGGAGGAGGAGCTAGGTTTAGTGTCCAAGATGCTGACCAAGGACCGCCGCAACTTCCACGCCTGGGGCTACCGGCGAACGGTGGTTGCCACCTTGGAAAGCGAGGTCTTGGACGGGAAGAGCATGGTCGAGTCCGAATTCGCATACACCACCAAGATGATCAACGGCGACCTTTCCAACTTCTCAGCATGGCACAACCGCACAAACTTGATACCCCGCCTATTGGATGAGCGCAGCGCCGATGATAAGGCTAGGCAGAAGTTCCTCGAAGACGGTGCGACGCCTGGAACGTGACGAAACGTGTTTCTATGCTAACCTGGGCAGAACTAAATCTCGTACGCGAAGCGCTAAATGTCGGTCCTGAAGACCAATCCTTGTGGTACTACCATCATTTCCTCATCTTGAACTTGACGGAGTCAGATCGTCGCCCCAAGATCGCCCGGAATCTTTCGCAGGAAGAAAGGGCGACGTACGTGAAGCGCGAGATTGAAGACATCAAGGAGCTGGCGGAGGACTATGACGACGTTGTAGGCATCTACAAGGCACTGTTGGACTACACAAGGACGTTACCACAGATTGAGGGACGACCGTTAAGTGATGACGAGACTGATGACCTCAAGAACTGGATGGCAAAGGTGAGGAAACTAGACTCCATGCGCTCAGGGCGGTGGAGCGATCTTGAGAAAGAGTGCGGCTTGGTGTAAATCGACAAACAAGCCACCACTGATCAAGTACCATTATGAATTACAACGAACTAGATGTATAAGTACACATGTCATATGTCGATAAATACCATCGTACATCATCCCATGATTTCATTTTCCCTCAAGCAGTGCACTTGCCCTTGATCAGGCTTGCATTCTCTCCGACCAGTCCATCGAAATACGCCAGCAGCGTCTCGACAGGAACCATGTCCATCAAACCCAGTGACGGGTTCGATGACTTGAGAACCTGCCCGCTCCAGAGGACCCTAACGTACCACCCGCTCTCTCCGGCTTTCGCGTCTGACCCAGCCGCTCTCTGCACAACAGACGCGCCGTCGGCAGAGCTCTTCGCCTTCTTCTTGTACAGCTCAAACACGACTTCGGAGCCCATGCCCGGCCAGACCATCTTGTCGAGCTGCAGGATCGACAACAGCCTCGAGACGGAGCCGTCGTGCGCGACGTTGTGGAAGTAGATGGTCTCGCTCTGCCCGCTCACGGCGGCCCTTAGATGCGTCGCCAGCTCGGCCACCCACACGCCCCAGTTCGCGACGCTGGCGGCGAGGGCGTCGGGGCCCGCGTCGCGGTACATCTGCGAATACTCCCAATGGCCGAGGCGGTACACCGCGTCCGCGATCTCCTGCGTGACGCACGTCGTGCTGTTCGCGCCGCCGACGAGCTTGCAGGGCAGCGGCTTGTCGTGGCACTGCCGGGCGGAGAGGTTGTCGTAGTAGTGGTCGAGGCTGGCGTGGAAGCCGGCGTCGTCGGCCGGGACGCCCGAGATGTCGTCGAGCGTGGCGTAGAGGGGCGCCGCAGCGTCGAGGTGCTGCTGCCAGGGGGCGTTGGCGGACGACTTGATGCGCGAGAAGAGGGCGGCGCCGGCCGGGCAGGAGTACTGCGGCTCGAGGGAGTCTACGCCGGCGGCCTGGATAGAGAGGCCCGTGGAGGCGGCGGTGCCCCACATGCCGTTGACGACCATGCCGGCGACCTGGCTGGTGATCTGGTTGTTGGTGACGCGGTACTTGACCTTGGCGAGCCAGTCGGCGGAGCCGGCGGCGTCCTTTGGCGGGAGGAAGCCGAGCAGGTCGTGGTAGACGCCGAAGAGGTCGGCGCCGTGGACCCAGGAGTCGTCGAGCCCTTGGGCGGTAATTTGCGGGAACTGGCAGGTCCCGATCCAGCCGGCGGGGACGAAGGGGTTGACGGGGGAGATGTAGACCTTCCAGTAGGTCTTTGCGGGTTTGTTGGCGGAGGCGAAGGGCTCGCCGTAGTAGAAGAGGCCTTGCTCGTCGCAGTTCCACTGGTAGGATTCCACGGGGAAGGCGTTGGAGGCGTAGGGGGTGCGTTTGTGGTGGCGATGGATCTGTGGGAGGTGTGAGCGCTCGTTGCTTCTATGAGAACGTTTTGTAGTGTGAGAGAGAAAAAGAGAGAGAAACGTACCAGTTCAACGTATTTGAGCTCGTACTCATCGCTCGCCTTGACGTACTCTGTCTTGCGCACATGGGGCATGTTGCACCAGTTGTACTGCCCGTACTTGTCGTCCGGCGTGGCGGAGGTGTCGTAGATGAAGCCCCAGACGCCCTTGCCGCTGATCACGGAGGTGATGTTGTTGACCTCGGAGCTTGCGGGGGCGTGCCAAGTGAGGTCGACGCCGCCGGCGCCCGCGGAGCTGTTACCGCTGGCGATAGTGCCGGACCCGCTGACGGCGCCGGAGCCGGTGCCGAAGACGGCGAGCGCGGCCAGGAGGGAGGAACCTGCCTTGGGCGCCATGACTTGGGAGAGGGTGTACTCGGCGAAGATGATGAAGCTGGCGACGAGGACGAGGGACTTGATCCAGGCGGCGGGGGAGGCTAGTGGCCTGCGTGGGAAGCAAGGTGAGGAAGCCATGCCATTATTTATACGTATATATGGGGTTTTTTTTTTTCGTCAAGGTCATTTACGATAAAAACGATTTTGGGATTGGAGAACCTTGAGTGGGCTTGAGTGTATCCCACGTGGGCTCCTCCCGGGAGGGTGGTGGTGAACCGATAGATAATGCGGCGCTATCGTGCAGGAACCAGGGATTCACTGGCGTGTTTATCCTGCGGGGGCGGTATTGTCTTGCAGGATTGTAATTCCCGCTGGTGGATGTGGACGTACTGTCGACTGTTGGAACCTCGCCTGGAGGTTTGGTGCAGTCCTGACGGTGATGCATACGATCAACCTCCGATGAGCGGGAGGCGAGAAAGATGTTGAAGCTTGTGTGGGGAGGTGCGTGCAGCACGTGCGGCAGGGGACGCGCCGAGTGGTCGCGGAGCTCAGGGGTCGGACAGGGGCGTGTCCACTGCAACCGTTTATTTCGGCGCCCAGACTGAACCTAATCTCGAATTGGGATGGGATTTCGCAAAGGTCAAGATGGGACATTCGCTTGGTGGTCAGATTTGTTCAATGCAGATTTGGAGATATCTCTCGGCTTTCAATTTTTTGAGACGCCGAGTTGGTTAAGCGCCGTGCCGGGCTCCACTCCGACAATGCCGGTCACACAGACCCACATTCATCCGCATACTCCGGGTATTCTTCCTCATCCGTCTCCGGCTCGTCATCCGGCTTGAGAGCCGCCGGAACCACCCGCCGCAGGTATTCTACCTTATCCTTCGGTAAGTCCACCACCACGAAGCCTCCCCTCCCACCCGATCCCATCAGCATCTTGACAACATCGTCCCACGTCTCATGGGCGTCGATGAGAGGAAGCTCCGTGTGCCCGAGCAGTCCACCACCCAGGTCCCAGCGGATCTTGACCTTGAAGTAAGCCTGTATGACGGCGTGCACAGGGCGCAGGTGCTCCACGACGAACGGGACGGTCGTGTCGGGGTTGCACATGAGCATGATGGCCGCCTCGCTGAGCAGGTACAGGAAGTGGTACATGCCGTAGCCGCCGGCGAGATCTGTGAGGCGCACCGGGATGGTGTTGTTGCTTTCTTTGAGGAAGGAGAAGTGAACGAGGACGTTGCGGTGCGGTGCGGCTGCGCGGCTTTCGGGGTCGGCGGTGCCGTTTGCTGGGGTTGCGCCGCGGAAGATGTTTTCGCTGTCGATGCTCTGGGATTCGTCCAAGGAACAGCCGGGGCATGACGAGGAGCAAGACGATGAGCATGATGAGGAGTCGTCTAGATGTTCTCGCCGAGAGGAAGATTTCTTGAAGACTTTACGCCAGCTCATTTTGATCGTGAGCTTTGATGTAAGATTAGTTGTTGATGGTTGATCGCTGTCAGTTGAAAGTGAGAATGGGAGTCTTGAAGTGATTCTTATAGCTGTAAGCCATGATGTCGAGCGAGAGTGATTCATCAAAAGTTCGTCACATTTGCTCCTCTTGATCTAGTCACCAAGACTACCCAGATGCACGATAAAGGGTTTCCTCGGCTGAGCTGTCTTTGAACAAGGCCAACACTGTCGGTTTCTGAAAGAGCGGAGAACCTGAAATGTTATTTGAAGGAGGTTGTCTTTTAGTCTGTCATAAATCGATCCTACTAGTCAAAGTGCCGTCTCAAATACCATCCTATCAGCTGCTCTTCTTCATCAAAGTCTGATGTCTCAGCAGCTGAGACTGTCATAATCTTTGAAGGCTGCAAACCCTTTGTGGCTTGAAGTTGTGGTCTCAATCCTGAAAAAGGTCACGTAGGGAGGTTGGAGAAGCAAGATTCTTTTGTACACTCTGCTATCTTCCTTAATATGTACAAGAAGTGTAAGTGTTTCAAGGCCCAACACTTGCGCCCGACCGCTCACTATCATTTCGACGTCTCATATCTCAATGCTTCATGAAGGTCGTCATCGCATTACTGCGTCAATTGAGCGCAAATCCTCCTGACTCGCTTGCCCTTGAAAAACAGCAGGACGCCCAGCAAACAAAACGCCGCACTGACGGCGGCGTAGATCCCAAACGTCCGGACCGGGCCGAGGTTCGTAATGTACTCCGTGGTATGCTTACTGAGCCCGAAACCGACGAGCCCGCGGGTGACGGGCAGCGCCACCAAGATCGCGCCGGCGAAGCTCGGGTGGCTGTCGATCAGGTACGCCGTCCCCACGGTGTTGACGCCCATCAGCACGATGAGGTAGCCGTCGACGACGGACACGATAGCCATCCAGTGGTAGCTCTCCGGGTTCTTCAGGACGTAGCCGTACAGCACCGTCAGGATCAGGGCCGTCACCATGGGCAGAATCCAGGCGAGGAGTCGCTGTTCCGGCTCGTGGATGCCGTGGTTCCGTCGGGCGGACACGCGGATGACGTAGTCGCTCATCCAGCCGATCACTGGGACGCACAGCAGGGCGATGAAGATTTGGCCCAGCTGGATGAGGGAGACGGAGGTGTTGGCCCAGTTGTAGGGCGGCTTGACGAGCACCTCGGCGTAGGTCATCTGGATGGAAACGTCGATGCCCTGGAAGAGACCATTGTTGATGGCGACCCAGAGGACGTGAGGGAACAGGAACACCTGCCCGATCTGCTTGAGGCACAGCCAGCAACGAGACCAGGTCGGCTTGTGGACGAAGATTGTCAGGTTCGAAGCAAAGGTGCGCTTCTCGAACCGTTCGAGATCCAGGCTCGGCCTGTCGTCTGTCGTAGTGTACTTTGGCCCCGGCGACCGGCTTCGGTCAAGGAGCCCGGGGGTGCTGCGGCTGCTGCTCTGCGCGGGTAGCAGGTTGCTCGTATCGGTCGGCTGGGTCCCCATGAAAGACTCAATGGGCCGGTCGTACGCCGTCTCGGGGACGAAGAAGAAGGTCAGGACCATGGCGACGCCCGAGAGGCCGGCGAAGAGCCAGTACCACGACCGCCAGCCCAGGGCATCGGCCATGTACGACGACGCGATCACCAGGCTGGAGTTGAGGAGCACCTCCGCGGATGCATAGACCTGGAAGACGCGCGCGCGCTGGTGGAGAAAGTAGATATCCTGAGGCGTTTGAAGTTAGCCGACGACCCAATATAGCTCTGGACACGGACGCTTTATGCCGTGTGTGTGCCATACCTGTAGGATGAGCAGAGCCAAGGCCTGGCACTGGGCTGCCGCGAAAGCTGCGACCATGCGCCCGCCGAGATGCCAGTAGTAGTTGCGGTTCGTCGCACACAGCACGGCGGCGAGGAAGAGCAGTACGTTGGACGCGAGAATCACCGGCCGTCTGCCCACCGCCACGGCGATGGGCATGGAGACGAGGTTGCCGAGCCCCAGGAAGAGGTTAGGGAACGTGAAGAGATTCGAAATTTGGTCTGGGGTGATGCCCTCGCGGTCGTAATCCGGCATGATGTACACAATCAACGCGGAGAGGGCGGTGATTAAGCAAACGCCGGATATTGCGTCTGTGAGGACCACACTGTGAGTCTAGGCCTCCGGAGATCGAATTTCAGTTTGATCTTTTGGCGCTGGGTTAACTTACACAGCACGATGATCGCCACTATGAGTTTCTTGTGCCATCCTGGGAGATTGAGGGGATCTGCGCATCGTCAGTCAAAAATGTCCGTTACTCCTACGAGAGTTTGCCTAGCTTGTCTCTGGGAGATTGCTCAATGATGGAAGACGTACCTCTCGGATCCGCGCTCGGAGTTGGAATGAGAATCACACCATCTCCCACAGTCAGCGTCGCCGTCCCGTCAAAATATCTTGGCCGCATCTTCTCCTTCTCCTCGGTCGGTTCAATTGCAATGTCTTCGCCAGAAGGGCCCTTTGCGCACTTTTCAATGTCAATGTCACGGTGATGTTTCTGAGCCTCATCGACAACGACCTCAGGAAGGGACCCTGAGGGGTCCGGAACTTTTTCGGATTCCATCTTTTCCAATGAGAGGTCACCCCCAGCCGAGCCTCGGCGCGGGTCCGAGATCTTCAGGACCCCTATAGTTGAGGGGATAACTGATGGCTGAGGGGAAGTGGGCTGGCTTGGCCCAGACCGCGTGCTTTAGGAAATACTCCGAGATTGTCACGACGTCGTGCACAGGCGGCGTCTCGACGGGTGTTTGGCGGTGAACCAGCTGCAACGCATGAGCCAGCATCACTACGACGTCTGTATGCCATGGCGGGGTTTTCGTGTCATATTTATTCTCTCATTACTCGAGCCATATTATGAACTGCCGTTGTCTCTTTGGCAGAGGAGGGGTTACTCATCGGAACTCTACTCTGGTTCGAGGGGAGTCTATAATGCCAAGCCAACATCGTGATACAGGCGAACCGCCGAGTCGGCACCTACAACAAAGTCTGTATTCTCGAGACAATGCGTTACGGACGGTAAAGGCGAATTGCCATACCGTCCCTTGGTCTAGTACGAGGCAAAGTGCGGCGGTGCGCGGACAGGCGGGTAGGACGGCAGAATGCCATTGTCCTACCAGATGGCGGTTCCATGAAAGCCAGGACATGGCTGTCAATGTGTTGTAGCTGTCGGTGTTTGCCTGTATTCGTACGCGATCACATCAGCAGCCTACTGAAAGTCAAAAAAGTGGTCGCTCACCGACAACGCTGAATAGCGTCGCATCGACCACTTTTCAAGCTCGTAAAATAAAGTTTGAAGCGCAACGCTTGCGGGGCGGTCCTGATACTTTTCCTCCACGCCGGGGTCTCCCATGAAGCCGTGCAAGCCGAACGGGCGACGGCCTCGTTCCGAAGCTATGCTCTACCGGCTTCACCCTTTCACCCCTTTCTATCGTCTTCCCTCCGTTGACTCGCCATCACGAGAACGACTAACAGCCTGCCAAACAGATCAGAGACGGCCTCTGCGCCCTGCGAGCAAGGAAATAAAGAAGGAAAAACCTCGGAAACGACGAGCGAGCTTCCGTCCCGTCGGCATCAAGCTTCGCTCTTTGGTTTTGGCCGAACTCCAGTTTACATACCTTTGCTGCCCCCCTCCATCGCCGATTGTCAAAGAGAAGGGAAGAGAAAAGACAAATCAAAGATCAGCAAGCTTCTTGCGATCCGGACGGACAAGACGTCAAAACTTGGCCGAACCAGGGTTTTGGCAATGCTCACCAACAACAAGGCGGCAGATGTGGATGATGGCATCCGGCTGTTGGACGAGAAGGACTTTAACACCGCCATCATCGAAACCTCAGAATGGCTTCCATCGGATGACAGGCGTTCCGACGAAGCTACCCGCTTTCTGGACCCTGAGAAGGCGGACGTTGATGCCGCCGCCGATCACCACCCCGCGCCAGAAGCTTCGCCGTCCGAATTAGCCGGCCGCGAACCGTTCGATCCCATCTTGTGGTCCGCTAAGAAGCGGTGGACTCACATCTTAGTGGTCGCCTTCATTACATGCGTCACGTAAGTCCACACCTCCACCAGACATGGCCGGCATGCAAGCGGTGGGCGGCAGAGCGCCCTCTAGACTTCGCGCCATCCTGCACCGTTGGTGTCAAAAACCCGAACCCCCGCGCTAACCGCGTGTCTTGCTTTTTTTCTCTCCGGGTACAGTCCCTTAGCCTCCGCCGTATACACGCCGGCGTTAGACCAAGTGATCCGCGATTTCGGCATCGAGGACGACCCCTCGCTGGCGCACCTGACGGTGTCGGCGTACGTGCTGGGGTTCTCGGCCGGGCCGCTGCTGATTGCGCCGCTGAGCGAGGTGTTTGGCAAGAGGCCGGTGTACCAGGTCAGCAATGTGCTTCTTCTCCTCTGTAATCTGGGCTGCATGGTCGCGCCGTCGGCGGAGTGGCTCGTCTTCTTCCGGTTTCTGGCGGGGTGCGCCGGGGCGAGCCCGATCACGCAGGGCTCCGGGACGGCGACGGACGTGATGCTGAAGCATGAGCGGGCGCGGGCCTTGTCGGTGATGGCGTTCGGAAGCGTCTGCAGTCCTGCGGTCGGGTCTGCGCTCGGAGGCGGGATCGCGCAGGTTTGGGGTTGGAGAGGATGCTTTGGTTTCTTGATTTTTATGGTGAGTTGTTCTTGTCGTACGTGATGAGGCGGACTGATGGGCGTCATCTCATGTTTCCCAACTTGATGGAGCCATGCTGACTGGATGAAATAGTGTTTGATGAGTACCGTCCTCACGCAGGTGTTCATGCGCGAGACGTACTTGCCGGTGCTTCGGCGAAAGTACGCCGCAATGGGCATTGTTGGTAACGTTGACGGTGAGGTGGACGAGAGCAAGACCGTTGCACCCAAGCCGTTGCGGTCGCTGCTCTACAAGGCGGCGATACGGCCGTTGACCTTAGCCTTTGAGCCTAGTATCTTGCCGGCCATCATGGTTACATCGTTCTTCTACGGCCTCCAGGTTTGGCTGTACATCGATGTGCCGATGACTTACAAGACGGTATATGACTTCAACACCGCCGAGGCCGGTCTGGCATTTGCCGGCATGGGCGTCGGCATGTTCACCGGACTCCTCATCTTCGGCTTTCTGAGCGATGTCGTGGTTTCCAGACTCGCGCGGGGTGGTGACAGGCTTCCAGAGCACCGTCTCCCGCTGCTGAGTGCCGCTGCTCTCCTGGTCGTGGGTGGCATGATCATATTTAACATGACTGCTCGGCCGGGCGTGTCCTACTTGGTGCCCCTGTCGGGCGACTACATCATTGGTAGCGGGCTGTTTGCCATCACTGTAAGTTGCGCTCCCTGATGTGCCTCTTTTCAGGGCATGACGGCTGACTTCTGACCGCAGATGACATCGGCCGTGTACATCATTGACCTTTCACCCCAGCACGCGGTGGCGACCAGCGCCTCGCTTGCTCTTCTGAGATACCCCTCCGGAGCATTGTTTCCGCTGGCGGAGCAAGCTTTGGAGAATTTGACCAGCAACAGTACCGCAAAGTGGCTCATCACAGCCGCTGCGGTTTCGACAGTGCCACTTGTGGTTTGGCTGCAGTACAACTGCGAGAGATTCCGGGCTAGACTTCGGGAGTCCCTCTGAGGGATGACATATGTTCTTTGTGTTTGTCTTTTCGGCATTGCGTTTGACTGATACCCACTCGAGTTTCCAGACTTGGAAGAGCACTGCATTAGAAGGATTCGAGCATAAGAAAGATATCCAAAGCATGGGTTTGCGTATAGACAAGACATGACTACTCGCGTTTGGAGAGAGGAAAAAAGCTTTGCGAAGAAACAGAAGCATGTTTGAATAGGGTGTAGGAATGAGTTGGACAGTACAGGCAGTAATAGCAAGATTCGTCGTTCTCCGAGGATTATATAGAGAGGGCTCGGAATACGACTTGATTTCCACGGGAAAGCATGATAAGAACAACTTCGTTCAAGGAGCTCCCCACGATCACGGGCGACTTGGAGTGTCTAGCATTGAATATGCGCTTCAAGGATGAAACTTTATATCGGTGGTGCATCCACCACTACATCTCTTTGGTAAATAAGGTCACGTCACTGTCTTAGATAATACCCTGATAGATGAATAGATTGCTGGGTCGAGATGGATTTCTGCTCCATCCGAGCGACCTGCAACCAATGGCAACGACACTAATCGCAAGGACGTGGCACCCGCTGAGCTGGATTGCGCTAGGCCCAAATGAAACCAATTACATCGTCACGCGGCTCTTTCAACAAGCTGGGAGACAGGACGACCAACGCTTTCCCCACGTGTTGCAGCCACCACGAAAACGCGGGATGCTATTCCAGTAGCTTAAACACCATCCAGCACGCCTAGGTACCCTGATCCGCGCGCATCGCGATACCCCATCCCGATAAGAAGTCGCACGCGACCGCATTCTGCCACCATACCGCCCCAGGCACCCCAAAGCAATCCCTCCTCTACCCATCAACCAGGCTCTGCGCCGCCAGGACTTCTCATTGACCTCGATAACCCATCATCAGGCCTTCGGGAACGGGGAGGGAGTTCCGCCAACAGCCATAGTACCGCCGTTGCGGACACCGAGAGCTTCGAGCTCGACGACTACAAACCCATTGCCGCGCGCAAGACCGCCGACGATCAAGCCGCCCGGCGCGAGCAGAAGAGACTTTGGAAGAAGCAGTGGCTCGAGCAGCAGGACGACATGAAGTTCTCCCATAGCATCCAGTTTAATGCTGTTCCGGACTGGAGCAGTCATTACATTGCCTACAGCAACCTCAAGAAGCTGTGAGATCCCAATGCCTTTCCCAACCGTACCCCGAGGTCTCAGATGACTAATGACTCGCTGTAGGATCTACCAGCTCGAGAAGACCGTCCACCAGACGAGCGCCGGCGACGCCGAATCGAGACCCCTCATCCGAAATGAAGAACCGGAAGATGTCTTCAGCCGCGCCCTAGGCGTAGAGCTAGAGAAGATCTGCTCCTTTTACGTAGCCAAGGAGGGCGAGCTTCTGGACGAGGTCAACCAGCTGCTTGGCGACGTCGGCAACTTCTCTTCGGAAGATGAGGAGGAGAACGGCGGGCCTAGACGGTCGTTCGGCAGCGGACACCGACCGGGCATGTCGGGAACCAACGGCAGAAGATCCGAGTCGATCGATGGCAACCTGGACGACAGCGATGACGACGAGGACGACGACGAGACCACCGGTCTGACAAAGAGCCGGTCCAGCCTTGGTGGAGGCAGACGCAAGACAGCTCCCAACCTCGGTCACTCCACGACTGAGCTGACGGCGTCGACCGAGCTGACGCTGGGAAGATCGTTACGACGTTACAGCACCACGCAGGACGAAATTCCGGACCAGTCCTTCCTCTACTCGTCGAGCATCATGCTCAAGAAGCGTATCATCAGCCTCTATGTCCAGCTCTGTGAGCTCAAGTCGTACGTGCAGCTCAACAGAACGGGTTTCCGCAAGGTGTTGAAGAAATTCGACAAGATCGTGGACAGGGAGCTGCGCCCCAAGTACATGAGCACCCACGTCGACTCGGCCTACCCCTTCAAGGTGGAAAGCATCAAGACGATCGAGGAGAACATCACCAAGATGGAAAAGGCATATGCTGAGGTTGTCACCAATGGCGACGAGAACCTCGCCAAGAGAGACCTGCGGTCTCACCTTCGCGAACATGTCGTTTGGGAGCGAAACACTGTCTGGAGAGACATGATCGGTATGGAGCGCCGTGCTGAAGCTGCCAGCTTGGGCAGAACACTGCTGGGTAGAGACGGTTTGTCCGGCGCTCGACGACTCCAAGGAGACGACGAGCTCGCCCCCGTCACAAAGGAGGTGGTTACTCCCGTGGGACGCTTCGTCGTCCCGACCTGGGTGGCCAGCACGCCTCTGCTCACTCTTCTGATTGCGTTTGTCATCTTCTTCCTGCTCCTCTTCATTCCCATTATGGAGAAGCCTGAGCAACAAAACTGCTTGGCACTGATCGTGTTCGTCAGTATCTTGTGGGCTACAGAGGTGAGTTCGATGGTCACAGAGTGGAGCAAATCAGAGGTAACACACTTCACAGGCTATTCCATTATTCGTGACTTCGCTTATGATTCCCTTCCTCTGCGTCGTTTTAACTGTCGTTCGCTCAGAGGACAAGCCGCACAGGAGGCTTGACTCCAAGGCTGCCACCTCGTACATCTTCTCGGCCATGTGGACCCCCGTCATCATGCTTCTGCTGGGTGGTTTCACCTTGGCGGCGGCGTTGTCCAAATGCAAGATTGACAAGCGACTTGCAACGTTTGTTCTGAGCAAGGCGGGAACTACTCCCCGGACAGTTCTCATTGCCAACATGTTGGTCGCTGCCTTCGCCAGTATGCTTATCAGCAATGTTGCTGCCCCTGTCCTTTGCTTCTCCATCATCGAGGTCAGTCCAAACCGCTTGGTGCAGACGTGAATCTTACTGACACTGTTTCAGCCAATGCTGCGCACATTGCCCTCTGAGTCCAACATGTCCAAGGCCGTCATCATGGGTATTGCGCTTGCCTCCAATATTGGTGGCATGCTGTCGCCCATTGCGTCGCCGCAGAACGTGGTTGCTGTTGGAATCATGAAGCCGGCGCCTACCTGGATCCAGTGGTTCTTCATCGTCATTCCCGTCGGCGTTGTCTCGCTGCTCGTGATCTGGGTTCTGCTCCTCATCACGTTCCAGCCAAGCAAGGGAACCACAATTGCCCCCATTCGTCCCGTGAAGGAGAAGTTCACTGGCATTCAGTACTTTGTCTCCATCGTCACGATTGTCACAATCGGCCTGTGGTGCGCTAGTCATCAATTGGAAGGCGTCTTCGGTGACATGGGTGTCATTGCTATCATCCCCATCGTTCTGTTCTTTGGTATTGGCATTCTGACCAAGGAAGACTTCAACAACTTCCCGTGGACCATCATTATCCTGGCTGCCGGAGGCTTAGCTCTGGGCAAGGCGGTCAAGTCATCTGGCCTGTTGCACACCATCGCCGGCGTGGTCACCAAGGAGGTCGAGGGCATGAGCCTCTACGGAGTTCTCGTTGTGTTCTCGTCCCTCATTCTCATCATTGCCACCTTCATCAGTCACACGGTCGCGGCTCTTATCATCTTGCCCCTGGTGTTCGATGTCGGCAGCAACATGGACGAGCCTCACCCCAACCTGCTTGTCATGGGTGGAGTCCTAATGTGCAGTGCCGCAATGGGACTGCCTACCAGTGGATTCCCGAATATGAGTAAGTTCCTCGCAGCACTCCCCCTGATTATGCGCTAACTCTCATTAGCTGCCATCATGAAGGAAGACCCGACCGGTCAGAGATATCTGCAAGTGAAGCACTTCATCAGCAGAGGCGTTCCCAGCAGTATCCTCACACTGGCTGTTGTTGTGACCCTTGGGTACGGGTTGATGAGGGTCGCTGGACTAGACTAAGGGCTATCCCGCACACACTTCTCTCACATACACATGCTCGTTCATACACGTGTCACGGTGCATCTGGCATCGTTTTTGTTTTGCGTACACGGAAAAAGGGATCATGAACTCGGAGATATCGGTTCTCGGATAAGTTCAGCACATAGATACTGGCATAGATAGCACTGGGCTTGATTTGGTTATTTCCTTGCGACTGCCACGTATGCAGCGCATAGTTTCGAGGGAAAGTTAGAATGGCGTGCCGAGATATTTCCTACGAAGCAGCGTGCAATTTCAAGTTATTCATCTATCCAAGCATTTCTCCAATAGCTGCAGCTTCATTCAAGCTGCAGTCGAAAGTAAAGTGCCTTAATGCATGTGACGGATGTACAGCAAATCCCGATGTACCACCGGCCAATCAGCAGCTGTTCCCAACAGATGTTGAAGGAGGTGGAGCCTCGCTGCTTCAAGTGGAAGGGTAGTAGCGGGTAGCGGCGCTAGTCCCAAACGGGCGGCGAAAGAGGTCATCGGCTCCCTTGTGGGGACTTCGTCCTGACGTACGGCCGACGACTACGGCGTACCTTACCTACTTTACCAGCAACAAGCATCCAGCCATACCCGAACCGAAGCTCCAACATCTCTCCCGCGCGCGCCATCATGAACGCTTCTCCGCTGCAGTGACGAACCGGCGCAAACGAGACGAACCTCCCTACTGATGACGGTATACTGAATATTTCACACACTCGCCTTGCGGCCCGGCAGTCGCCATGCTCTCAGCATTTACAGCGCGGCCGATCATAGAACTAAAGCAGCGGGATAAGTCCAAGATTGAGACAATCCTCGCGCATGGTGCGTCGTTGCCCCAAATGTAGCCCGCCTCCTGCGTGATGACGCCCCCCTCTCACATACAATTTCACAGGCGACCGCGTCTTCGTCGGCCTCAACAGCGGTGCACTCCGCATTTACCGCCTAAACGAGCTGCCCCCTCCGTCACCGACCCAAGCCAATGGCTCCCAGCCCTCCGCGACGAGCCCGCCGCCGGCAGCCAACAACAATAACCTCAACACCGCCCAACCGCCGCAGAAACCGACGGACCTGCTGCGTGAGATAGATAAATTCTCGACCAGGGCGATCGAACAGCTTGCTATTCTCAAAGAAGCTACTACCATCGTATCGCTGTCCAATTACTACGTCTCGTTGCACGACCTGCAGACCTACGAGCCGATCGAGCAGCTCCAACGAACGAAGAATGCCACCTGCTTTGCTGTAACCTCCAACATCGTGAAAGATGCCGCCACTGGAATACCGGAAATCATCAGCCGCATGGCTGTTGCCGTCCGTCGGCGGCTGTTGTTATGGAGCTGGCAGGAGAGCGAGCTTAGCCCCGACGTCGGCGAGATCACACTGCCGGAATCAATACGGACTGTAACGTGGGCCAGCGCGACAAAGATCGTCTGCGGCATGAACGCCGGCTATGTCATGGTCGATGTTATAAGTCAAGAGGTTGAGGATATCATCAGCCCGGGCTCTGCAACGTCGGGTCAACAAGCCAGTCGCTTCGGAGCGGTCAGCAGCGCGGGTATGGGGTACATGGGTCTGGGAGGATACATGCCGAAACCCCTTGCGGCGAAGCTGTCCGAAGGCGAGCTGTTGTTAGCCAAGGACATCAACTCGATGTTTATCACCGACGAAGGCAAACCGGTTGAGAAACGGCAGATACCATGGCAAGCGGCGCCGGAGCAGATTGGGTACTCTTATCCCTACATTTTAGCTCTGCAGGCACCCTCAAAAGGTTCTCTGGAAGTGAGGAATCCAGAAACATTGTCGCTGTTGCAGACCATCTCTCTTCCTGGTGCGGCACAGCTTCATCTTCCACCACCCAATCTCAGTTTGGCGCATGCAGGCAAGGGATTCCACATTTCCAGCGATCGATGCGTGTGGAGGATGGGTGCTACCGATTACGACTCGCAAATTGATGAGCTGGTCGAAAAGGGCAAATACGATGAGGCTGTCAGTATTCTGAACATGCTCGAAGATGCTCTGTTGCGCAATAAGACGGAGACTCTGCGGGAGGTGAAGATGCTCAAAGCAGAGATGCTCTTCAAACAGAAAAAGTACTACGACGCCATGGATCTGTTCAACGAAGAGGACGTCCACGCCCCGCCTGAGCGCGTACTGAAGCTCTTCCCGCCGTCGATCGCGGGTGAGATGTCGGGATGGGCTCATGGTGCTCAGGAGGAATCGGGCAGTGACGAGAGAGACGGCGAGGAAGAAGTCCATGAAAAAACCAACGGTGACAAGTCAGCCAAGGACGAACCCAGCGAGAGCCCAGCATCCCCCGCGAGGGGTGGCGGTGTTGGCTTTGCAAAGCTTTTCATGGGACGAAAACAGGCACCCGCACCACCGCAGTCGGACACGGCTTCCATCATATCTAAGAGCAATGCGTTGGACGTCGAGGAGACCGACAGCATCAAGGGAAGACTGGCGGAGGACAAACCTCTCGAAGGCGACGATCTTCTGGCCGCTGTCAGAACGCTGGCTGGGTACTTGGTCGGAACGAGAACGCGCCTGCAACGTGTGCTTGATCCCAGTACCGGCAAGCTGAAGCGATCAAACACCAATGGCTCGACTGAAGACGCGATGAAGGGCTTCATGTCACCAGTCCACGGCGAGGAGACGGGAAGCCAACTGGAGGGAGAGCTACTGAGGACTTCAAGAATGGTTGACACGGCTCTGTTCAGAACGTACATGACGACCAGCCCGTCTCTGGCCGGATCTCTCTTTCGACTGCCCAACTTCTGCGACCCAGACGTGGTGAACGAAGCGCTTCTCGCTCATAATAGGTACAACGAGCTGGTGGACTTCTTCAGCGGCAAGAAGCTTCACTCTCAAGCGTTGGAACTTCTCAAGCGCTTTGGAACCGCCGAGAAGCCCGACGAGACCGCCCCTGCTCTGCACGGCCCCCAGCGGACGGTGATGTATCTTCAAAACCTGCCGCCGTCAGAGATTGATCTGATTCTCCAGTACTCTGAATGGGTTTTGAAGGCGGATCCAAAGTTGGCCATGGAGATATTTATTGCTGACTCTGAGAACGCAGAGACCTTGCCCCGTGGCCGGGTAGCCCGCTTCTTGGGCGGCATCAACCCTTCATTGGAGGTCCAGTACTTGGAGCATATCATCAACGAGCTAGATGACACGACCCCAGACTTCCACAATCGTCTAGCGGAGTTGTTCATCAGACAGCTGAAGGAGAAGAAGAGGGATGACGAGTGGGATGCAGAAATGGAACGCTTCGTTGCGTTCCTAAAAACGAGTGGGCAATATAGTCTTAGCAAGGCATTTGGTCTCATCCCGCGAGACGGTACGTTTGACCACTGTTTGCCGGACTTGATGGTTACTGACGTGACGCAGATCCGGCCTTTTACGAAGCTCAAGCTGTCGTGCTGAGTAACATGGGTTCGCACAAGCAAGCTTTGGAAATTTACGTTTTCAAAATGAAGAATTATGCGAAGGCCGAAGAGTAGGCATTGCCTCGTTTAATGTCGTTGCATTAGCTAACCTGCCCAGGTACTGCAACATGGTGCACAAGTCGAAAGAGTCTGCGTCGTCGTCGCCAGACCGATCACGGTCGCCAGATCGATCGCGGAGACCGTCTTCAGCAGGCGATCTCGAGGACTCGACACCATCAATCTACCACACGCTACTCTCTTTGTACCTGACGCCGCCGCCACCTCACAAACCCGCCCATGCACCAGCTCTCGAACTTCTCTCAAGGCACGGTTCACGTCTCCCAGCAGCCTCAACCCTCTCGCTGATCCCCGATGACCTTCCCGTCCGAGACCTTGAATCTTACTTCCGAGGCAGGATCAGATCTGCCAACAGCGTGGTGAACGAGTCGCGCATTGTTGCGCGGTTGCGAGACACGGAACTGGTATCTACGCAAGCCCTTTTGGTGCTCGGCGACGGAATTCCTGGTGGGCAAGGCGGACGCAATAGAAGAGTGGTGATCACGGAGGAACGCCTCTGCGGTGTGTGTCACAAGAGGCTTGGTGGCAGCACCGTCATTTCGGTATTGCCCGATAACAGCGTCGTCCATTACGGCTGCTCGAACAAGACGGCGTCGCACAGGCCGCAGAGCTCGCGGGCGGGAAGTTGGGCTCGTAGGTTTTCGTAAGGGGTGTGCCGTAGGAGTATGAGGAGCCGGGTTGATTAGTGCTGGGAGTTGGTTTCCTTCGTACATATTGGTATTTGCATAGCCAGGGCAAATGGGGAAGCGGCAGCATGATACAGCAATACCCCGTATATAAGGTGGCAAAGAATGTACGATGGCGCTCCGAAACGAGGCGTTGCGTTCGTTTTTCGTAGCTTCAAAGTTTTTGTTCCTTCTCTCTTGCTCTCTTGCTCTCTTGCTCTCTCTCAGTCGTCGTTAGGAGGCGCCTCCTCGCCGTAGTTTTCCTCCTCAAGTGCCTCGTCGACGGCGGTCTTGGAGCCGTTCTTGCCGGCCTCACGCGCCTTGTCCTCCTCCATGCGCGCCGTGAGCTCCTTGTTGATGCTCTCCTGGGCGGTGTTGATGGCCTCGCGCAGGGACTTGAGGTAGGCCGTCTTGTCTTGGACGCCGGAGGTCGGCGGGGCGGGGATGGACTCGGAGTGGGTGAAGGGGTCGTTGGCGGGGGACTTGTAGGTCGCCGTGAACTGGAGGGCCGGAGCGGCGGCGGCACCGTTTACTTCTGATGCCATGGTTCTGTCGTGTCTAGTCGTGGTACGTCAAAGTTTCGCAGTTTGGACGAGCGACGGGAGTGTCAAGGTAGGGGAGCGTGGACGAGGGCAGGGAAGGGGGGTTTGGCGAGAAATGGCGATCGTGATGTGTGTCGTTGGAGGGGGAGGGGTCGGAAAAAGGAAGCATGGGAAAATCAATTATGACGAAAATCTGGCGCTGTGCGGCTTTGCGGGTGCGGCTCCCTCCATTCCAGTGGTGGTGGTCCCCAATGTTCCGCTGAAGATGGGGACTGTCTTTTGTTTTTTCTTGCGCGCAATGACGCTGCGGGGTTACCTTCACCTGTTGCTGGATTTTAGCACCGAAACGGCAAGGTCCAGACACCCACCAGCCAGGCTAGCGAAGGCCAGGGTCGCAACCCGGCGACGGTGCCAGTGATCCAGCAGCACAAGGGGCTGGGGTGAGCAGCACCTAAGAGCGGGGGATGCTGTTAGTCGTCGCGGTGCCTTGGTTTTGGGTTGGTTCAGCCGTCCAGGGCGTCGGTCCTTCACCGCAAACGAAAACGTCGGCCGGCTTCCCCTTGGCAACGGGTCGCTTATCCGTACTCTGAGGTGCATTGGATTGGATCCGGGTTCATATCGATAGGAAGGATAGCCCGCATCTTGCTTGCTGACACCGGAGCAGACTTGCAGCCAAGGCGCACGCGAGACGAGGGTTGGCCTGGCCTGGTGTTGTGCAGACGGGATACACTACCTGGTCGATTAATCGATCCTGTCTATCTCACACGGCCGCCCTTGAGGCCCTTCAAGCCCTTGGACGCAATCAAAATCCACTCGTGGTACTGGATCGCTCATAACCACCACCCTTCCTTCTTTCCTCCCTGACCTCGTATTTTTCGACCCTCTTACATCACCACTTCGCTTCGGTCAGCGCCCTCTCACCCTCCAACTCCTCCCGCATCGCCCACCTCACCTCACCTCACACACCAAGAGGCGAAGAACCAACACGACCACCCGCCACCCTGCTCTCGACAGCAACTCAGCAAACAAACCTTCGAGGCCCGCCCGATCTCGAATCGTCCCAACTCTCCCAAGATGTAACAGACCCCTAACACATCCACGACAATGCAACCAGCACGACCCCCGCCCCGAGCGCCGGGCAGCTTCAGCCCTCTGCCGGGCTCGACAGCTTCCTCCTCCAGCGCACCGCCGCCGCAGCAACGTCCACGACCTCCCGCCCGCGCCGATTCTTCGAGCAGCGAAGAGAACCTCGCTTTACACTTCGTCAAGCCCCGGAGCCACGCACCGAGCGCGCCCACCGCCCCCTCCTCCGCGACGCCGATATATGCCCAATTCACTTCCCAGGCCAACTCGAGCACCGCGAGCCTGCAGAACTTCTCGCGCCCGACCGCCCAGCGATCCGGCACCACACCCGGAGGACCAGCAGGTCCCATAGGAGGAGGAGGGGCAAGCGAAGGCAGAAACCATGACCTGAGCGTCAACACCCACATCGCATCCGCCGCCGCCCGCACCGCGAGCCCCTTGACGAAAGGCCACTCGAGGAAACATAGCCAGACGCCCGGCCTCTTCGACTCGACGCTCCCGTCCACGAGCACCTCGAATCTCTCCCAGGTGGGCATGTCACAGCCCGCCTCCGCCGCATCGTCATCTACACATCAGCACCAGGTACATCACCACCACCAGCAATCGAGTCCGGCCCTCTCAGCCAGCCAGATCGCGGCACAAGCTGCCGTACTGCAGCACCAGAGCAACCAACAGAACCAGCAACAACTACAACACGCTCGACAGCGGTCGCAGACCGTACCGAACCCCAACGGCAGCGACGCCGTCGACAACGTGAGGAGGGGAAGCGGCGCGAGGGGCCCACTCAGCCCGCCTATGCTAAGCCTGACAGAGGCCAGCGCTCCACGAGAGAGTGGTTTTGGGAACCAAGGATACCACAACGGCCTGCTGGGTACTTCGGCCGCGACGACAGCTGCGAACGCCGCCTTTCCACGGTCGGGGCAGACATCACCGGGTCTATCTCAGTCTCAGCAGCAGCAACAGCCTCAACAGCAGCAGCACATCGCCCACCAACAATCACAACACAGCCCAGTTCACTCTGTCCACCCTGTCCATCCCCCGCCGCAACTCATCCCCGATCCGAAACCGGCGAAGCCAGAAAAGTCCAAGGTGAAGCTCTTCTCCCGCCCTGTCAAGATCGGCACCAAGGGCGATCCCAAGGACAAACCGCTCCCGAGCCCGAGCAAGATCGGCAGCGCGCTCGCATCATTACAGCGCGGTAATTTCAGCACCAGCAGTCTGATCGATACCAGCGGCCAGTCCATCTATAATCTCAACAACTCGTCTTCGGCAACCATCCGCGCCGTGCCCGAAACGCCCACCATGGAAAAGCCAGAAGGGCGAGAAAAGGAAAAGAAGCATCACTTTCTGTCGCGGCAGAAGCACAAGCTCAAGGACGAATTCCACCTCCCGCTGTCGTCCGCATCGAGCAACTCGAAACCCACAGACCCCAGTGCCCCGTCGAGTTTATACAGTTTCAACTTACCCCCTAGTCCGGCCCCGACTGCAACGTCGTTTGGCAAGGGACGTCGGGACAAAAAGACTGAAAAGGAGAGCAGCGGCCTCGGCGTCGAATCGAGTTCTCTTCCATCAGAATGGCCTGGGCCAAGCAGTCTGCCAAGCCTGACGCATCAGTCGTCGTATCTCTCCGAACCAATTGATGCAGGCAAGTACGGCCTCAACAGCATGGCGCTCGATGATGCATGGCCGTATCTCAAGGCGAAGATGCTCGTCATCTTTGAAGGCGAAGATTTGCGACAGCCCGTGGAAGACTTCAACAAATTAGTGACACTGCACATACAATACTGCATCCAGCGCAGATCGCCGAATATTATTCTAGAGGACCTGCGCGAACTTCTTGCGACCGGCTTTGCCTCATTGGACCACACCCTCAGGCGCACTCAGGAAGACAAGGTCATTCCGGCGCTGGTGGAGATGTGGCTCATCACCTACACGTCAATTTTGCCATACATGCAGGCCGTCTTCCTTCCTTTGGATCTCGAATTCTCCGGCTGTGGCGTCCTCATGAATCCGGACCAGGCCCGCGACTTTTGGGGCGGCGTCAAGGCGGCTCCGATGTCTACCGATGCACCGCATGTAAGACCGGCCTCGGCCGTCTTTGACGTTCGCCGCATCGTTCTGACCGCGTACCGCGACATTGTCATCCTCCCCCGGTACGAATCACTCAAGACAATATTCTCTCGCCTCTCACTCGAATTCCTCCCGTCGTCATTTGCCTCAATGGCACTAGCTTCTCCCCTCCCGGATCCTGCGCTCTCGTCCAGCCCCGCCGACACTATGAGCATGATGCGCCCTGGGACCGCAATGAGCCTTGACCCGTCTGTGGCAAGCTACAACTCCAACGCGACGACCCTGCTCGGCGATGCAAGTTCCGGGGCTGGCGGGCGCAGTCGTGGTCTCAGCAATGTCAGCTACGCCAGTGCTGGTAGCGATGGGCAACTCCGGCCCTTTACCCGCGAGCAGAACGTCGAGGACTCGAAGCAGGTTACGGAGATGGTGGGCCGCATGCTGCAATGCATGAGCATCCTCGCCAGCCTCGGGGATGTCGCGGGAGACGGCAACGACGAGGGGAACAGGCGGATGGAGGAGCTCTGCCGGCTGCTCAAGCTCAACTGGCTTGGCAGGGGGCGGACGGGTAGGAACCGCCGTGGTATCGTCGGAGGCAGGCGGCGGGATATCCCCGAGTCTGTACGGGAAGGTTTGCGCGTGATTTAGGAGAGGGAATGGACTTGATGGGTTATCGGGGTGGTTCACAGATGGCGCGCGGTCGCAGCGCGCCTTACTTGTCATTCGTTCTGCTTGGCGTTCTTGATGAAAGTTGCAAAAACAAAACACACGGTGTATGGCTACGGCCCCCGTGACGGGATATACCTCGCGAAAAGAAAGAGTGTTTGCCTCTTTTTTTGTTTTATGGAATTTTGCGGGGTGGGCATTGGGAGTGTTTCTTGGGATGCATGGCAGTTGGGGATGGTTGGCATAGATGAAATTTGAGGTTATTCCACAAGGTGAATGATTTGGTTGTTTTTGAGTGTGATGTGTGAGGTAATGTGATGTGATGGGAGGTACGGCGAGATGGTGCGTGGTTAGTGAGTTAGCTACTGGTTTTGAATTGAGATGATAAGGACGTCGTCTGCCATGAGGCATGGACGATTTCATCGTGACCGCGAAATGGAGGTTTTATCATTCGAGCGAATCTTTGCAAAGGGCATGGTGATCCAATCTTTCGGTCTCCCGTAGAGATGCGTTTGTGAAATTAGCCTTATGGATCGCGGACGTCGACCTCGTTGGAGTAGTAGGTCACTATACGCCGAGTCACGACGGTCAAGGAGGCAAGTTGTAGCGGCCCGAAGTTGACGATGCCCATTGAGCCATACAATTAGGTACGTGATGCGAGATTGGGGGGACTGTCATGACAAGTAAGGATATCCTTATTCATGACGATGTTCATGTCACACGAAGAAAAGCTTGAAATTCTCTCAAGGCACGGCACATTCACACGATGTCTATCAAGCACATTGGTCACGGATGCATTCTGGGATGAGTTGTGGAAAAAACATGGGTTATATTTGTTTTATGAAGAGCCATGGCTAGTTGCCCAGGCAAGGCTTTGTGTTTTCCTGTTCTTTGCACATTGTCAGCGAGATTGCTCAAATTCCGAGATTTGCTGAAAAGTGATGGTGAAGGTGAAAGTGTCAGATAGTGATTACTGGCAAGTAACAGGCTCTCCTGCGACGGAGTGCCCGAGTAGACTAGACTTCTTCATGGTCGATTCGGTTGGGAAAAGAAGACAATTGATATAATATCATCATTCAGAGATTGGGGGATGGTGTGTGTGAAGGGGATTTTTTTCTGGTAGCTTACCTGTCAGTGGGAAGCGCAGCGCAGGAACCCCGAGCGCTCTCTGATCTGCTCTGCATTGAGCTTTTGTCAGGCGGTGTGAGCGATCGAGGCCTGCGCTGGCCGTTTGGTATTGGAGAGGAAGTATGGCGTTGGATGATGGGGAAAGGAACGAAGCTTGTGATGCGAGAGAAGAGATTTTATAGATGCGGCTCACGATGGGAATTGTGGGGCGAAGTTCGGTCGAAATTTTTCTGGGGCACGGGCCTTTGGTCTGGAAACGTCTGCTTGGGGAAGGAAAGATTGGGTGTCACGTGGTCGGCTGAACCATTTTCGCTAGACCGAAGGTCATGTGATTTTGATCGGAGATTAGCGCCGAGGAGCCGATGTCTGGGACTGGGGACTCAATGGATCCCCCGCTTCCTCCAAAATGAGGTAAGCTGATTGGATCCCGCGCGGCCCCCTCCTGGGTTCATGTCACCAGACGATGAGAGGACTCGACGAAGACAGCGAGAGACAGAATGTGCGAATGGTGTGCGTCCGGGTGGTTCGGGGAACACGTGGTTGCCATTGAGGGACGCAAAAGGTAGAAACGGATAGGGCAAGACGACGCGATTCCAGCGGTCTGTTCTGCGAGGGCCATTTGTCATCTAATGAACGGGGAGGATGGGAGGCATTTTTTTTTTCTCCTTGCCTTGCTGCTGCGCTGCTCCCGTCGGTGACCATGACAAGGCAGAACCTCCTGCCTCCTGCTTTGCGACAGATGCTTCAACCCCTTGGGACGCGCGGGTCGCTGAAGAAAGACAAAGCTTGCTTTGCTCTTGATGCATAAGCCGCCTGATCGCCGGCCGTTGTGGATAGAGGCATATTCCCGCGTTTAAATGGAGCTTCCCGCCACCTAATTCCGGCATATCCATGCGTGCTGTGCTCGATAGATGCGTAGCGTACCGCTATAATGGAATAGGAACCCGCTTTTCCCATCCAAAGAGGGCAAAGGGCGGGTTCGGGCTGGGAGGTGCGTCTGGCATTGGCAGTTTGGCATGCTGGCCGCCCGCCCACCTCTCGCGCTTCCTTGCCGTCCCTGCTCTGTTCCTGTTTCCCCAGCCCGGGCAGCCATCCACCATCTGCTGCTGTCTGCTGTCTCCTAGCAGGTGTTGTAGGGAGAGCTCTCTGTGACGCTGCAACCTGTCTGCAACACCACGTTGAGCGCCCCCTCCAATCCAATCACCGCCCCTGGGCCGAGTGTCTGATTCCTTAATTTAAATTTTTCTCTGTCTCTGAGAATTTTTTGAGTGTTTGGCTTCATTTTGTTCTGTCGGGGTTCCGAACGTCAACTTCGTCCCGTGTTACGTTTTAGACACAAGAGGACCACGTTAGCTTTACACGACACCCACCCAAAAGACGAACGGAAGGAATAGGACTTTCGGTTTCGCTGTCTGCCCGCTGAGCAAGAAAGACGTGGACAAGGGGAAAAGAAGCTCGGGCAGCCCACTTTGAGTCTTTGCGTCCCTTCTTCAGCCCACCCGCTACCTAGCCAGACCAGACAGCGACAGACGGACAGCCAGCCGACCCCAGCGCGCTGGCACCGCACACGCTACGGATACGCTGCCACGCTGCTGCCAACCTTACCACGCTAGGTACCCAGCCCAACCCACTCGACCCCCCAAAATCCGCAATTCATCAGGTCCAGCTAGCTAGTACCTTACCTTACCTCTGGACCTCACCCGCCATACTGCACCGCATCTCGCTCGCTCTCCCGTCTTCCTGGTAAGGCGACGCGCGAAAAAAAGGCTTGTTCCTGCTCGCCAGCGCGGCACATTGCAGTGCTCATCTCTCGCTCTCTCTCCCAGTCTCTCGACGTGTGCAATAAAAATTGGGCTTGTTGGATACCTTACAACATAAACCCGCCGCCACCGCCGCTGCGAATGTCATCGTCGACGACGTCTGCGCCTGCGTGCTGAAGGAAAAAGAAAAAGGCTCTGGGCCTCGTCGTCTTTTTCCGTCCACCCACTCTCTCACGAGACCTCTCAACCCTCTCAGTCTGTCCGCTCGCTTCGCCTCACCTCGCTCCCGCTATCTCGCGACCCTTCGACACCACGTCGTCGTATCTCTGACTCTCGCACACTCTCTTTCTACTGTATCTGCTCTACGGGCCCCGGAAACCTTTACCTTTACGATAAACCAGCAACTCCATTTTACCTTCTCCGTCGCCACGCCACGCTTTTTTCCCGACCCCCCGACTCGCTCGTCGCCCGTCAGTCTGTCTCGCTACCTCTCTGTCTCTCTCGCTCCAGCAGCTCGGGCTCTTCCACTCTCGCACACACGCACACCTATTCCCTCTCTCTTTTCCTCCCGCAGGCTTCCCAGTCCCAGGCCCAGCACCCTTCTCCCCCGTCATCGGGCTGCCTTAGTCGCACCCACCCACTCCCCGAACCCTTTCCCATCCAGCTCTTTTGTTTGTCGTCGCATCCCCGACCAACTTCCCTACCCAAATTATCCTGCTTCCCGCCCCCGTCCTCCGTCCTCCGTCCTCCACGTCGATCATCGATGCCTTCTCGGTCCCCTTTCGCCTGTTGACCCGGCCGCCCAAAACTTGCACCATCACGACGGGCAAAAATCGACTTGCTCTCCTATCGCAAACCCCGATAACGCTAGTCGAAATCCGCCAGCCCACGCAACCCGCATCCGCGCGATTGAGAGACCACTCTCCCGCGTCTCGTAAATCCCGAACGCCAGCTGCCCCCATCGCTTCTTCGCGTCGCGCCATCGCAACCCAAACTCCCACGCTCGCATCCCACCACGCCCGCAACGCCCTCGTGTTTGCTTCGCGGCCGCCGATTGCCCATTTCTATTCGAGACGAGAGCCACGTTCGGGTGTTTTCTGCAGGCGCATGAGATAGTGCGGAGGGAAGAGACGTCGATATCCACGCCGTGGATTATCGACACGCTGAAGACATGATGACGAGTATGGGACCATCGTTTGCAGGTCATCCTGCCGGCATGCAACAACATCCAGGCGTCCCAGGCCATCCCATGGGCCCGGGTATGCCTCACAACCCAAATCAGCAAGGCCCGCCGGGCGGTGGAATGCCTCACCAGATGCACATGGCGGTATCAGGGCCTGGTGGTCAGGTCAATCCAAACCAGTTGATGGGCGGCATGCCGCCGGGTGCTGGTGGTCCGAACGCTCACGCTTTGCAGCACCTCAACCCCCAGAACCCAATGTTCCAGCAGAACCAGTTCGCCCAGAATTGTATGTTTGACGGCTCTCCGCGTCCCCTTTCGTCCTATGTCCCTCCCCCCCCGCTGACCTCGACCTACAGTCAACAACCCGGCCGCGATGGCGCATGCCACCCAAATGGCGCAGCAGAGGTTATTTCAGCAGCAGCAGCAGGCTAGGCAGGCGCTCATGGCTCAACAAGCCTTCAACGCGAACATGGGTGTCAATGGCATGCCTATGGGTATGCCCATGAACCCCCAGATGGCGGCCCAGATGGCGGCCATGAGGCAGGGCATGCGGCCGGTATGTATAGCGCGCCCGCGCGGGTGACCAGAATGTTGACAAAAATCTACAGCAGGCGCATACTCCCCAGGCCCAGGCGATGTTGGCACAGCAGATCGCTCTTCAGCAGCAGGCTGTCGCGCAGCAGAACCAGCAGATACAACAAGGCCAGCAACCCGGTCAGCCGGTCCAGATGAACCCTCAACACATGCAGCTGCAGCAGGCGCAGATGGCTGCCTCGATGCAAGCGCAACAGCAAGCTCAGCAACAGCAACAGCAGCAGGCTCAGCAGCAACAGCAACAGCAGCAGCAGCAGCAACAACAACAACAGCAGCAGCAGCAGGCTCAGCAGCAGCAACAGCAGCAGCAACAACAA